TTGTTGTAGTCCTACTGAGGAGATGATCCAGTGTTACTCCGGCCTTTGTAAAGGCTTTCAACAATCTTATCTGAAAGCAGCGCTCAAACCGATGATGTAGTAAACCTTTAATTCACTTTGATCAATTCAAATATGGCTGATTATTGTATTGTATATCGGTATGTATATAATTATTAAAAGCTGTGATAAGAAGCAGATGTTTATACAGCAGCGTAATATTCAAGGATCTGTGGAAGTTCCAACATGCCAGCATGTTGATGATTGTTTTGATTGTGTAATACTGATTCATACATGTGATTGTATGACTGTTGTTGTGCAGCATCATTGTTTTTATGAATGATCTGTGCCACTCTGTGCAGGGACCAACTCGTTTAGAAAAGTAATTTTTAACTCCAATTTTAAAAAAATCATTTTAAAAACAACAAAATGCAATGATTTGCAAATCTCATAAATCCCTATTGTATTCACAATAGAACACAGAAAACCTGTTAAATCTTTAAACTCTTAATTTTGAACGATTTCACGAAGAATCTTGACTCATTTTGAGTCTGATGACAGCAAATGTTTCAAAAAGGTTGGGCCAGGTGCAACAGCAGGCTGGAAAACTCAGTGGTCCTAAAAGGAAACAGCTGGAGGAACAATTTCAATTCAGTTTAATTGTATTTAGACCGCTCCAAATCACAACAACAGTGACCTCAAGGTGCTTTATACTGTAAGCTCGACCCTACAACAATACATACAGAGAAAACCCAACAATCATATGACCCCTATGAGCAAGCACTTTGGCAACAGTGGGAAGGAAAAACTCCCCTTTAACAGGAAGAAACCTCCAGCAGAACCAGGCTCAGGGAGGGGCGGGGCCATCTGCTGTTGCGTTTTTATAACTAATAATAATTATAACTAATCAGTTTAAATGACAACAGGTCAGTAACATGTCTGGGTACAAAAAGAGTTCCTCAGAAGTAGGCGGGACCAAACTGTGTCTACAAATTATGGACCAATGACAGCATACTGTTCAGAAAAAGATGGACGAGAAGAGCTCCTCGAGGCAAGTGTTGTTGTGAGTTCTCTCGATATAAATCAAACTGAAGATCCAGGACTGCTGAGCTAGAATCCTCTGTCAGACAAGAACGGGACAAAGTTCCTCTCCCGAAACTCCACAGCTGCTCTCCTGTTTCCAGATGTTAGAAAAAGATACTACAAAGATGGAGACATACTCCTGTCGCAACCTTTTGGAGATGTTCTATTGTGAATAAAGTATTGGTTTATGAGATTTGTAAATCACTTTGTTTTGTTTTTATATGTACATGTTGCTCAGCTTCCCAGTAGTTGAACTGTGGCTGTGTTTAGCAGTGGGTAGAGACAGCGTGTCATCTGCTACGTTCTTTTTAAACACCCAAAATAAACAGTGTTTAAAAACAAGATTAAACTATTTCATTTAAAATAAAAAATTATTAGGAAATATGTATATTGTGATTTGAATTCCACTCGCCTTGTGTCAAGGAGGAAAAAACGATCACGCACCTGCTGTAATAGTTCCAGGGGTCTCAAACTCGCGGCCCGGGGGCCACTCGCACGAACTCATGTGTCACTTGCACTTGTATTTTGTTCAATACGAACGTGTGTGACAGACAGAGGACCAGTGTGTTTATTTGTTCTTTCAATGAAACGATTCAGTTAGTTAAGATATTGCTATATAATATTTCCATCCATTTTCTTCTGCCTATCCGGGGCCGGGTCGCGGGGGCAGCAGCCCGAGCAGAGAAGCCCAGACCTCCCCCTCCGCCTCCTCCAGCTTATCCGGGGGGACACCGAGGCGTTCCCAGGACACGCTGGAGAGATAATCTCTCCAGCGTGTCCTGGGTCTGCCCTGGGGCCTATATGATATTTGAAATTTAAAAAAAGCAAACAAAACATTTTCAGAAATGTTTGTTTTTGTATTAATTGAACACAAAAGTATCCTTCAGACGACAGTGCCAGCAGTGGCCCTCAGCTCCTTCCAGTGTGAGACCCCTGCTTTATTTACTCTCCTCAGTATTTGCATGGACAGTTATCTGGTGGGGCCCTTCGGTGAGTGCTAGGTGCTCTGTCGGGTAATGTAGAGGGGCGTATCAGGAGTTTTCCCATCATGCCCTCTCCCTGGTCCTCAGGAGCCGTGAAGTACTTGGAGTGCTCTGCGCTGACCCAGCGAGGCCTGAAGACGGTATTTGACGAGGCCATCCGGGCTGTGCTCTGCCCCCCACCCGTGAAGAAGAGGGGGAAGAGATGCACCATGTTCTAAGGAGGAAGCACTGCTAACACTACACCACATCACCATGAACAACAACCACTACTTCTCTGAGAGGATGAGAAAGAAAACTAGCGAGAGTGAGTGTGCACTGCTGAGATTGCTTTCTTTATATCGATGTTTTTTCAAAATCATATTGGTAGGACCAATATTTAACCCAGTTTTTTTAACCATTACAGAGTAAGGTCATAGGTTCTCTGTGAAAGACAATGACTGTCCAACTGCTTTGTACTCATAGACACGTGTCATGTTGCCACGAGGGCTCACAAAGACTTCTTATCTTCTTACTGCAAAGTCTTTTGTTTCTCAGCTATGCTTGCTTGAAATAATGCAGTGTTGACTAGATAGAACATGAACTGTGAATACGCCTTCAGCTCTGAAGTTACCCTCAGCTTCTGATCTAGGATCAGCACATTAAAAGAAATACTGCCTTCATTCGTTCAGCCCTCATTTCTGACAGTATGCACAGCGAGGTCCCCCCTGAGATCTGTGGTCACATGACAGAAACACCAGCAGTTAGACTCTCTGACAGCTTGGTTCACTGGCGGGTGTCCTGATTGGCATTTTATTATTCCCGATCCAAACCAAGTTCTTTAAAATGGCAAGGTATTCAAGTTTGCTCCATACTGCCAGATCAGCGTCTCATTATTAAACAGCTCATTGGAGAAAGGCTGTGCTGTTTCCCTCAGACTGGGCAAACGGCCCAAGATGCTCCCTGTAGTTCTTAGCTAGCACAGTGACTGTAACGATGGTCTAACTGCTTGTATTTGTTCAATCCTCTCAGTAACCTGTCGAGTTAGGACAGATTTCCTGCCAAACGATCACATCAGCGCTGCAGTCAAAGTATAAACATGTAACCGTGAACTCATCCTCTTGGGTTTCATCTCAGTAAAGCCACGCACAGACTCATAATCATAGCCCGTGTCATCGTTCTTAACTTTTCAATGAGAAAAAAGAGATTTTCAGTGAGACACAAAGGTTTAACTGGAGGTTTCAGTCAAAGCTTGTCTGTTTCATAACTGTACTTTAGAGGTCTACCTGCAAACCTTTCGCTCGCTTCCAGAAGCATCCTCTGATCAGTTGAAGAATTATTTGGCTATGCCCCTCCAGCGTGTTCTTGCTTCAGTCGCCTGATCTTGGTCAATTTCTTTGGGTAACTATTCTTAACTGTGAAGATGTGACAGACGAGCTTGCCAAACACACGGGGGCTGTACAACCTTGCTGCCTGAGTTCTGCCTGTGGGAGTGGAGGAGCTTGCATGGGTCTTAAAATATTCTGTCTTAATTTATCCCATTGTTTAGACTGTGTGTGTGTGTGTTTGTGCACAAGCACATGAATGCGTGCGTGACAGGTGTGTTTGCGTGCGTGCACGGTGGGCGGGCATGTGTCGGTGTCAGTGAGACAGTTTGGGGTAGTGCATAAGAGACAGTATTGTTTTAAGCCAAGTTTTTTAGTGTCCAGTTTTTGGTACTATTTCATATTGTATTGTAGTAAAACACAAGACTTTTCAACAATCTGTGACATAAAGGAAGGAAAACACACGAATATCAGTGACATCCAGTCATGTACAGAATAATCCTCAGAAAAGGAATGCGTTATGAATATCTACATGTACCTGAATATTTAGCTCGTAAAACTAAAACAATTCAAACTAAAGGGATTATAGTTGCTCATGTCGAAGTTAGAAGTGTCGCTAACAGTGTACGATAAAGGGCCAATCGTTGTGGAGTTTGTCGTCATGGCAAACAGTGCAGATTGCACCTTTATGAAATGCATTTCTGTATGGTCGCAGGCCTGCTGTGTGTCTGTCTCCCCCGTGTGGCGAGACGCAGCACTGCAGTGCTCCGTTATGCTGTCTTTGGTTGGCATAGCTGTGTGGTTGAATCATGTCGTGTGGTCCTGCCTAGCTAAGGTGTCGAAATGTAGCTGAGAAACAGCAAAAGAAAAAAAACTACTACTATTGCATGGAAGTTCTCTGGTTATTTGACCCACTGTAACTCTTAGGAGAGGTTGTATGATGAAATGCATTGGCCATGTACGTATGTAATGTAAGATGACTTGTATACTTGTTTCAACTGTTTGTCTTATTTTTTATTACTTCACATGTCTGTGTGGTGACATATTTCAATTTTTTGTATACTAAATACAAATGTATATGTAAGGTAGTCTGCTTCCTGTCGTCATTTCCTCCTCACACAGCGAGGCGTTCCCTCGGGTTCACATCGAAATGTGCTTCGTGGACTAACACTGAGGAAAACGCTAGTGGCTGCACGAGTCCTTTTTTTACAGGATTATTTACATATATATTAACAGAAGACGGACTGTTCCTGTACCTTTAGTTGTTTAGATTTATCAAAGTGACCAAACGAATCATTCTGACTGAAGATGATGATGGCTCTTATTCAGCTTCATCAGCAGGCTTTCCAGCACACGTCCAGGCTTCAGTTCTTCTTTGCTATTCTTTACTGCAGCACTGAAACAACTACAAGAGCCTGCAGCGCGTGGAGCCAAATTAATAAGCAGAACCGGCCTGGTTAGGAAGAGTCCAGTGGTTCTGTCACTTTGAACCAGTCACTAAACTACTAAGGCCTGCGTCTCAGCTCCTCACTTCGCCTCAGCTGTGGAGCGGTGCTGTAAATAAAGAGGACCCAGAGTTCATTCGTTTCTGTTTTCATGTGTCGGTGACTTAGTCACTGTGATCATTTATATTTCAGTAAAAAACAAACAATTTATTTTTAAACAGAGTTTTTGTTTTTAATACTGATTTTAATGCAGCAGCATGTTTTTATCTTTTAATAGCACAAATTCCATCAATGGGTCAAACAATCCTTCGGGCCCCTCGCTGGTTGAGTCCAGTTATATTGGAGACAATCACAGTGAAGAAGAAATCTGCAAGTGAAGTTTTGCTCCGAGCAGGTGGACGATGGGCTGATGTGGCTCAGCAGGCCAGGAAGCCTCCATCCACCGGCAGAGTGACTCCATTAATCATGCTGCTCTTTTCACTCAGCAGGAATAAAATGCTGTTCACAACCTCCTCCACCTCTGCACACAGACACACACATCACACTCAGCTTTACAGAGCTAACCCTGACACCACGGGGAGGATCGTGTGCAGACGAGAGGGCAGGACTGAGTCTATCAGTGTTATGTCCCTAACCCTCGACTGGGATCATGCAAACTGGTCTCACTCTGTGGACTCGTCACCTGTCTGTGGGGTAACACTTCCTCCCATGCATACAGGAGCTGAACACAAACACAGTGATGTGATCTAAGAGGACATGTCTGACCAAGACCGCTGCAACTGACCTGCGAAGCGGCCCAGGGGGATCCGGGACTTCATGCTCTTGGCTTTTTCAGGATCGCTCCAGCCCAAGCGACCCATGTCAGTCATCACCACTGTGGGGTTCACGGTGTTCACACGGATCTGATCACAAGACGACACCTGAGTTAATCGAGTCACCGAACAGACGTCAGATCCCATCTTTGTTCAGACGACCCCGATCAGACTGTTGAATACTTCATGTTAACAGCCGGACAGGCAGCAGTAACTAAAGTAACCTCCTAAAGCGACTGTATGAACCTCATACATGCTTTAAAACACTGGCTCATAGAACTTATAAGTAAGTTTGGTGTTGGCTGCTGTCCTGTTGTTTGCTTCCAGTAAATGTTGAGTTCACAGGAACTGATTCAGGTGTCGTTTAGATGCAGCCTTTACAAAACTCTGTGTGGACTTTGGTGTCAGGTTGGTGCCGACACCACTGACACCAGCTGCCAGCGACTTTTTACACAACTCCTTCACTATGTTGCACATGGTGCAGGTGGGAATTTTGCAGACTTGCTTTCGGGCCTGTCGTCCTCAGAGAGCGAAGGGTCACTTAGGATCTCTCCTGGGATTTGAAAGCCTACATCCTGTGTATGATTATGAACCTGCTGCTCTCTCTCTCAACACCACACCAGGCTACGTGAGTTTGCAGAAGGTGTTTCACAGTGCAGTGAGCTGTCCTGGCATTGGTGTGTGCTGGCAGTGTTTCACTGTTATATCGGGTCTCATCAAAGTATTCCAATGCTTTTCAACACCTTACATGACGTGAGGCACACGTGTAAATGACTTTGACACTTGAACAGGAATAATTAATATTCACATGAAATCATTTCCTGGACAGTTTCTTGCATTAGCTTATATTGTTTTCCCCGTATTTCCTGATCATTTAGAAATAGCACGAACTGAACGATAACTGTGGCATCACTAACTCAGTTAATGCTTTCACATAGATGCACCTGAGCTAACCACATTAGCATTAGTAACTGTCAGGTGGAAGCTGGACGTGTGGAACAGGACAGTGGTGTACCTGATGTGGTCCCAGCTCTAAAGCCATCACCTTACTCAGCATGTCCAGAGCCGCTTTGGTAGCACCTGAGCACAGAGCAGAAACAGAAGCTCAGTTTGTTACCCTCACTGGGCTTCTTCGTTTAAATTTGATAGAGGCTATGGCGCCCATGTCTGTGTTCTCACAGTAGACAGCGTGCTCTCTGAGGGCGCGCTGCGATGCCTGGCTGGACACATTAACAATGGAGCCTCCTGATCCCCGGGCCTTCATACCACGAGCCACTAACTGCCAACAGACGGAGCTTTGTCTCATTTCACAGAAGCAGTTTGATGAATGAGACGGGTCAACCGAACACCCTACAAGCTCCACTCAACTGCATCGAGCTTTGTTACAGAAACTTTCCAAAACCCAACTTAACCAATAACATCAGCGTCAAACAATTCATGTAACAAAATGTCATCTGCTCATTTTTTAAGCACAGATTTGTGCACGGCTCAGACCGACAGGCGAAGCACAGATATAGAGCCGGAGCTTTCAGATCTACACAAGACATTTCTTAATATCGGGGTAAAAAAACACTTTTACTGTAAGTCCCATTCACACGTTTTCTAAAGCCTGTCCAACACTCATTGTGATAGGTTCATTCACAGCTGAACTTCAAAGCAATGCATTTCCCACGAATCAAATCCAAAGAAAGGAAACACCGTGGTTTAATAAAGCAGCCGTGTTTGTTTTACCTGAGAAACCTGCACCACAGCTTTCACATTCACACTGAAAGCCCTGGAAGACACAACAGACGTGACAGGTTAGCACGTGATGAGGCTCTGGCCTCTGGCTCACAGGCTTGTGCTGTGTCCTTACGGCTGGTACTTCCTCAGTAACAAATATGAAAGTTGAGAATATTTGCTTTACTGCTCAAACTTGTCAGGTGTGACTTCCAGAAATGGCTGTAGGTTGGCGCAGGCAGCGTTATTGACCAGCAGGTCGACAGGGCCGACATCCTGCAGGGCCTGCTCTGTGGCCCCCCAGTCTGTGAGGTCCACACACACCGGGGTGATGGAGGCGCACTGTGACAGGAAGTCAAAAGCAGACGGACTCGGATTAGAAGGAAGACAAGAGACATCAAATATTTATAATCCGTTTGGGCCCCAGAACTGAATCAGTCACAGGCCTCCTCACAAACAGCAAACTCTGGCGAGGTTACAGCAGCTGTGCGAGAACAACTAAATCCAGATGCTGAACAGCTGTTCTGAGGTCAGACCAACTCTGTGCAGGGTAGCTTTGTTCTTCTTTCAGCTGCTGCCGTAGAGTCAATCAGTGAAATGACTTGGTGCTAATGCTTCTCATGTTAGCCGTGCAGATTGAAAAAAACTTATTCCTCTATTATTGTATTTGCATGACGAACATACTGCAGATTCTACTTCAAGTGAAAACTACATTAAACAGCTTTTAAAGTCATCAGCTGCCGTCAGCTGATTAAAATCTGTTTGATATAATGAGTCAGAAAAGGTTTGGATGAGTTATTAATAAGATTTAAACTGAGAAGAACTCTCACTGTGCAGATCAAAGCTGTAGGCAAAGAGTTGATTAGAGTCTCTTAGGTTTATCTGTGCATCACAGACACTCCATCAGAGAACTGACAGGAACAGCTGTGATGGGTTTCTGACGTCTCCCAGGCACAGAGCTAAAGCTAAAGCTAAAGCAACAGCGACGTCAAGTCTCTCTGCAGAAAGAGGACATTTCAGATTTTTTATATGTAACGGTTTTTTTTAAAGATATGACTCTCTCCTCCACAGCATGTCTTTATCCTGTCTTCCTTCTCTCTCCCCAGCAGCAGATGGCCCCGCCCCTCCCTGAGCCTGGTTCTGCTGGAGGTTTCTTCCTGTTAAAAGGGGGTTTTTCCTTCCCACTGTCGCCAAAGTGCTGCTCATAGGGGTCATATGACTGTTGGGTTTTCTCTGTATGTGTTATTGTAGGGTCGACCTTACAGTATAAAGCACCTTGAGGCGACTGTTGTGAATATAAATAAAACTGAACTGGGACTTTTTTTTAAAGAGGCTTTAGAAAGGTTCCTAGATATTTGTTTGTTAATTCTGTGCTTTTATAATCCATATATATCATTTTAATAATGTATCTTTTTCTTTTGGACTCTTCTTGGACATTTTATTTATACAGCACTGAATCACAACACCAGTCAGCTCAAAGTGCTTTATATTGTAAGGTGGACCCTACGATAATACCAGACCCACACGCCTCTCCAGCTCCTCGCTGTCGGTTCCCTAACGGTGCATTTACACGTGGTTGGTTTTTATACGCATCATTTTTAAGAGGTGGCCTGAGATGTGCTTTATGCTGATTGACAGTCCACTGTGTGGGTCAAAGATCAGGGCTGGGGCCCCTCAGATGGGTGTGTGTGGGGTGATCACCTCCTCCACCAGGCTATTGAGATCGGCCTGTGTTCGTGTGACCGCTATGACCTTTGCCCCGCAGCGTGCCAGAGCCAGAGCTGTGGCCCTACCAATCCCTGGGACACAAGAATCCATAAACACAAAGACTGATTACAGAGTGGACACACACACACACATTCCACACATGTCTTAGGCTTCGTTCCACCAACAAAGCTCCTGTTATTCCACTTTCTCACTGATGACACTGGTTCAGGCTCCGTGCAGTGTCATCAGATTCCTCCAGCACACTCTGCTGAGTTCACAGTAATCAGTAACTTCATCGCTCCCATCAACACTGTCTCACTTTAAACGTCTGTAACACGGCTGGAAGCCGACAGAAGTACATGTTAGTGTTGTGTTTTATATTTGTCTAACTTGATGTATGTGAAGGACACGTTTATACAGCAGCCTCCGTTTGGGGCCACACAAGGAGCTATGATGGTTTGTGTTTGAGTGTAAATGAAATCAACATCACTGCTGACATTTAATGTTCTGTTCAGAAACTTGTTTGTAAATCAAGCTCAAGTGGAAATCACGTGAAACTTTACATTAAGCATTGATTCGTTTAAAAACAGAAACGGTTTCACGAGAGGAGAGTTAGGCTACGCTCACTCTGCAGGTCTTGATGCTCAATTCCGATTTTTTGATCAAATCCGATGTTTTTGTCTGCTCGTTCACAGTACAAATAAAATGTGACAGCAAACGCGCTCTAGTGTGAACGCTCAAGCGCCCGCATGCGCAAAAGAAGACATCACACACAGCGCGCTCTGTTTAGACCCAGAGCAACAGTATGTTTGACTGACGGCCTTAATATAAAGACTTCGGACTTCACGTTTCCCAGTTTTTGCTTTAAGTTATTTTGTTATTTACATAATAATGTAAATAATCTAATAATGATCCTTGTTGCTGTTTTAGAGGAGCGATGCTTCAAAGGATATACAAAGATTATACAGAACAAAGAAAATGTTCACGTTGTTCCCAACAGTTTCACTGGAGGGCCAGGAAGCGTTCGCGATGTCTTCTCCGGCGCTGATAATTGGCGTCTGTCTTGCGTCAGTGACGTAAAAGACGGATTTAATGCGACGTGACCATCAAACAGCAGTCGCTTTCTAAAACATCAGATATGCGTCTGATTCAGCACCACATACGAAAGTGACCCAGATCGGATTTGAAAATATCGGATTTGTGCCGTTCACACTGTCACCATGATGGATATGAGTCGCAGAGGGTCAAAGAAGTCGGATTTGATGCGCTTTCACCTGCAGTGTGAACGTAGCCTTAGTCTCGGGTCCCGTGACCACACTGGGGTTTGGTGGGGGGCATTTGCACGAAGGTGGATGTTGTTCATAAAGCAGCCTGCTGGTGTCGCTGCATGTGCGTGCGTGTGCGTGTCTCCTTTACCTTTTCCTGCTCCGATGACCAGAGCCCGTTTACCTGCAAACGAAGCCTCCATGTTCGGCCTGCGTGGGTGAGCGAGCCGCTGCAGGTGGAAGCGCCACAGACGGAGTTACGGGTCACGTGACACTCAGGCTGAACGTGCTGAGCGAGCTTAGCTCGGCTAAAACTTCCAGTGTGAAATGTTCCACGCGTGTTCTCTGTGCTGTTCCTCGTGTTTTGTGTTTGTATGACAGAAGAGGTACTCACCAACAGCGCAGCGGACAGAGCTGTGTGTGTTTGTGTGTGTGCGTGTCCTCCGCCTCTACACCGTGTTTGTCTTCCAGGTCACTCGTGCAGCCCGTGGACAGGCACGTAGCACGCGCTCAGCCCTGCCATATAAGGCGGAGAGCTGCAAAGCTCCCGGATTCCTGTGAAATCCCCAAAAGTCATATTTTATAACCGGTAACCGCAAAAGTGTTTCTCAGGAAAATCCACAGCTGCTCGTTGAAGTGAGCAGTGCTGCACAGAGACGTCTGCAGACGTTCAAATCAGGAGGAAAGAAAAAACAAGTCCCGCTGTACAAAGTCAAATAAAAAGTCCCTCATCGGTGTTTCTGCATCTATGGTGAAATAATATTTTCCTTTCAGATGTCTATATGAGAAGAAAATCTCATGTAAATGCTTACAGCTCAATGCTTGAGTTGAATTTTTATAGTTGCTGAATCTTTGGTGAAATAAACACAACGAATCACGTTCAGGTGGGAGAGCTGGTGTCACAGCAGAGCTGGGATGATGGGAGTAAAGTCTACAAAAGTCATCAACCGCCTCCAGCTGGAGATGATGGTGGGCTTCAGGCTGAAACCAACACCACCAAATCTGATCTTCCTTCATGCCCAGTGGACACAGTAAACCAGATTCTGGGAACCACCATCTCCCAGGACCTAAACGTCAGCTTCCTCATCCACGCGGCACAGAAGAAGATGAACAAAGTCACTGATGCTTTGAGATTCTTGAGTTTAGACATTTAAAGTTCGTATTATCATTAGTCGTCTTTTTCTAACGTAGGGGAGACCGGGGATAGTTGTAACATTTTTGACATTTCTGTCTGTAAATTGAAGCTCTTTTAAGGTAGTGGATTCAAAATGTAATGCAAAGTATTTACATGTGCAGCTATTTTCTCTGCAGCACAATTACCCATTGCATGGTATGGTCTCAAACACGAAGAGTGAAATGTTACAATTAACCCCATAGTCTGGGTTAGTTGTAACATATCCCGGGGTGAAATGTAACACAATGAAATAAGGGTACTAACAAAACATTAACGTGTAATCTTTGTTTATTCAACACATGAATGCACTTAGATCCATTTATGTAGCTGTGTGTGTGTGTGTGTGTGTGTGTGTGTGTGTGTGTGTGTGTGTGTGTGACAGAATGCAGACATCTAGCTTTTGAACATATTCCAACCCCCCAAAAAAGACAAATTATGGAATTTTCTGCAACTGAATATTTCATTCATTTTGGTTGGTCTTCCTTGAGTTTGGCCTCATTGGCTCAGTGGGCATTATAACCTACAACTCTTGCACCAATTTTGAACATAACAATGAAGCTGAAAAAATGTAGTTGTTCACCAGCATTGCAATTCCATTACTTTTTATCCTGGCTTACCTTGGTGAGGTTTGCAGAGTGCTTCAGAAAGATGAGGGAATCTGTTTCTTGCACCCATCCTGATTTATTTCCACTACCAGTACTTCCTACTGGTCCATCTCTGACACAGTGGTCTGCATAATGTATGTGTGGGAACACAAACAGTGGAGGAATTGTGTTGCCAATGGCATTAACCGCATATACAAAAGCGACCAGTGACGCTCTCTCTGCTGATGTCGTTGCCCCAACTTGTTTAATATAAGTTAAAGTAATAGTGTGGCAAGTTGTAACATCTGCATTATTGTTACAACTGACCCAGACTGTTGCTGTTACAACTGACCCAGACTCCTATAGCCATGAACTAGCTAATATTATAGCCAACAGCTAAAACATTAGCACTAAAGACTTACACAGAATATATCCCCATAGACATACAAATAACATAATTCAAGTTTGATGAGTTTAACTGCAAAGCAGATAATGCTATTAAACATTGAAATAAAGTAGAAAAACGTACTTTTTGGCATACAAATGACTTTTTTTCGTGTTAAATTGTCTGTGTTTGACAAAATGTGCTGATTTTTCACATGTGATAGCAGAACTGAGTTGGGCATGCACAGGATGAGTCACATCATTTGAAACTTAGCCCTGATTGGAGAAATTGGAAGTGTTACAACTGACCCACGTTACAACCATCCCCGGTCTCCCCTACATTTTAAAGATTTTCAGCTACTTTCCAACTTTGACACTTCAGCTTTCAACAGTTCTGCACCTTCAGCTGGAAGATTTGTTGATTCAGCACATTGAACATTTCAGCTCTCAGCATTCGCACTGCAGCAAATGCATCCTCTAGTTTAAGTCACTGTAATCATCCAATGAAACACTGCTGTGATTTATTTCCACAGCACACTAAATGTGTCTGTAGATCTACTGTAACCTGCCCCCCCCCACTAAATGTTCACTTCTCCATTTAACGTTATTGAATATTTTCTGCATAATATATATTTGATGTATTTCATCACATACTTGGACACACGTGTTCCTCTCAGGCACTGGGATGATCTGCATGTAATTATAAATCATATGATGAGGTCACAGATTTGATCATCTGTTATCCAAAAGCTCGTTTGTTGAACGTGATCACTGCGAAGTTCTAATCAGAGTTGATGTTTCTGTGTTTCCGGGCCACCTGCACACTCTGTGCTAACATTTAAAACAGTGAGTGTTACTGAAGAATATACGAAGACTCGTTAGAAATAATGTTATTAGTCTGCACAACTCAGAAACCCCCATCCATTTTCAGGAAATGCTTTTGGCACATGTCCATTAGTAGAAAAGGGGTAAATATTTTTCTCCTTTTAAATAAAATAAATATCTGACATTTCTAAAAAAGCTAATTAAGTTAAGAAATTACAAGTTTGTCAGTGTTGGAGAGAGAGACGCTGGTGAGATATGGAAAAATAACTTCATTAAACCAATAATTAGAGTTTCAAGATCTCAAGTTAGTTTTATGTGCCTCCTGGGTGGCCCCCAGCGGTGCAGGGCCCCGGGGTCCTGAATATCCTCTGGATAATTTAGTGCAACTAAAGAAAACTGACAAACTATTAGAGGAAAAATGCTGAGTAACATCACAGCATTTTTCCTAAAATAAAGTCCTTCTTATCTAAATATCAGGGAACATGTGACCTCCGTGCTGTAGCCTAGCTCCTCCTGTTGTCCTGTTTGTTAGCGGCCCGTTTAAGGCTGGTTGCCTGCTGCATCCTGAGCATGTGTTCAGGGTGAAGAGGCGTCACATCGTCTTCCAGGTGTTTTTCTAATCAACAAATGTAGTGTACACGGTGGTGTTCACATTGACGACTCAGAACATCCACCCCTGGCTCCTTCCAGTGTGGAGGAGGAGCAGCAGCTCTGCTCCACCCGGGTCCTCTGGCACGTACTCAGTTTCCCACATTTCTCTGAATGTCTGTCGATGTGTCATCACTTCTTCAGTTTGCAGCATCTCTGCAATTGATTTGTAGCTGTTTTGTTGGGCTCTTTGACCTCCTCCAGGTCAGGCTTCAGCGTTGATGACACAGTCGTCCTCTGCAGCTCTGATGTCAGTCTGGGCTTGAAATGCTTCCTCACGACTTTCCTCGATCTGTGCTGAAGCTCCAGGTCTGATCCGGAGGTTTTTCTCATGTCTGAGTGTGCACTCATGTTGACGTTTGTAAAGCTTAGCTGTTTATTTCGGAGCGTGAACTGCAGTCCTGAGGGGAAAGCTCCTCGTCTTTCATTCATCAGCATCAAACTGCATCGTCTGCCCTTCCTCTTCTTCGCACTGACTTTTATTTTAAGCTGGTGTTTTGGATGCTGTGTGCAACAAAAGCAAAGCGGTGACTTTGAACTCCATGCTGTAAGGCATCGAGGTAACTGGTATTACATAGATTTTTAAAAATTACACTGGAAAAGTTGTTTCTTGCTGATTTTATTTTTGAATTCACTTGTAGCTCCGCTTTTCATTTGCACACTCCTTTTTGTCTGTGCTCCATCCACGGACACTCAGCTGTGATAAAGGACTACGTCACATGTTGATCCCAGCGAGCTCATCAGTTTGTGGTTTAATTACAAGGAGACCCTCCCGAGGAGGCTGTGTGACTCAACCTCCTATAAATCTGACAGATGTGCGATTTCAACATGACATTGAATATTTCCATGCATCGTCTCGGTTATGTGGTTTTCTCTTCAATAGATAAATGTGACAGAAACACTAAGGAATGCAGGAAAGCTTTATTGACAACAGAGCAGTGGCAGCTTTGACAAAAACACACTCACTCACTGACCTGCAGTGGGACTCGTGGTGTGGGGTTTGGTTTCTAGTCTTGTGCAAACAGGCTGGTGCTGTACACCACCAGCTTTCACCGGCAGAAGTGACTGAATATACAGATCAGAGTGGGCGGAGACAAAGAACCGGTTCATTCTCCTCTCTTTGAAAGACAGAGCAGTGGAAGTTCAGCAAAAATCTTCACACGAGAAACTCGACGGTGACACATCCCTGCACCGTGCTCACTGGTCAGGATGCTGTAAATGTGTAGAGTCGTCTAAAAGCAGAAGATGCTGCTGCTGGTCGGTGCTATGAAGCCTGATTTGGGGCTCCTGCAGCTAAAAGAATAAGCCTCGTATTACGCTGTGCTGACCACTGTGTGCTACTGACAGCAGGACCTGTTTGATAGAACAGGCTGCAGGAAGCAAACATCCACTGTAAGTGTAAGCTACAGCTTATTATTACTGAATCACTGCTGGTGTTTGTGAAAACAAAGTGCTGACCCTTGGACCTGACTGAAGCTCCAAACTACAACCAACATTATTCATTTCATGAACTGATGCTGAGGTTGGCTTTACTCCAGCCTGTGACCGCCCATCATTCCTGTGGAGCTAAAACTACAAGACATGCAAAGCAGGTTTACATAAAACCCAAAGAGTCCGCACGGACACTCCCCACGTCACCACAGCTGGTAACGTTGTAGGAGTGCCAGGAGCAAAGCAGCGCTCGGCCACAGGAGGTCACATGTCTACTCGTATCAAACATTCATGTTGATCCAAGTTCATGTCTGTCACTAATATTTCATATGACCTCAGATCCTAATAGAATGAACATCCTGTTCTTGCATCGTGAGCGTACAAGTACATGATAGTACAGTGAGGTCCTTCCTGTGCGCACGTCTACATGTTGGACTCACAGCAAACACCAATCTTTCAATGACCCTGTTTAAAACTAAACTGCAAAGCAGCAGAACGATGTTAGTGTCGCTTTTTACCACCATCTGCTCCTCTGCAGCAGTCCGTCTAATCACACAGAAACAGAAAACAGTAGGGGTGCAACGATACTCGTATGGATATTGAACCGTTCGATACAGTGCTTTCGGTTCGGTACGCATATGTATCGAACAATACAATATTTTTAATTTATTTGATCAACTTTCCTTCTGACGGTGCTGTCTGTGTTGAGCGCTCAGTGGATCTGCGCTCGACAGTGCAGCCTAGGCGGAGTAGTCGAACGCAGATCCACTGAGCGCAGGGCAAGCTAGCGAGACAGAAGCTAAGCTCGTTGCAACATCAATCAATCAATCTTTATTTATAAAGCACTTTTCATACAGAAAAAATGTAGCACAAAGTGCTTTACATGGCAAATTGAACCTCCCCCACCCTCATTCAGATCTGACCTTTGGAACTATTTTGGTTTTCATGTGACGTATGACCCTGTAGGTAAGCGCGTCATGGACTAAAGTAAAACAGTATGTTGGATGTGCCACGCAATGCTCAATTACATGGGTGGGAACTAGTGTGTTAGCGCAGTTAGCTCGTTAACGTGTTGACGCCATCCAGCCCCACGCACGGGGCGATCCGCGGTAACTCGTTAACGGAGATTTGCCGTGTTGTGGCGTTAAGGTCATTTCAGATTAACGCTGACAGCACTAGTGGGAACACAACGAATATGACTGCACATTTACTCCGACATCATCCTAGTGCAAAGACAAGTGGAAGCAGACAACAAGCACGCATGCTACAAACTTTACCCGAGTCATTTAGACAGCAGTTAGCACAGGATTCTCCTTATGGGGACCTGATATGTTTAATATGCTGCTGAGAATATAGCCCAGAAGAAGAGGATAGTAGAGCTTTTATTTTGAAAGAGACATTTCTCTGTAATAAACTCTTTTCCAAAGATGAGGGATTCCTCCATCAGATAGATTTATTTTTTATCCCTTTGTTGTTTCAGCAACATTAAATTTAAAAACTGTACTTTTGAGTTAAAATATATATTTATAATTTTAATAAATTACAAATTAAAAAGGCGTGAACATTTTTTTGTATTGAAAAAATATCGAACCGTGAATTTTGTGTATCGTTGCACCCCTAGAAAACAGGCGTCACAATAATAGACCTCATGCTTCTTCAGACCGCAGCTGAAACAGCCAACCAGCAATCTTCTACCTCCTTCAAACTGTTTTAATACTTTTTAAAAAGCTTTTAAACTCCAGTCAGGGATTTACCAAAGTAACAGGAACAGAGAGGTTTCCACATACATCTGTCATGTAAGAGCTGTTGACCTAAACTCGCCGAGCTCAGGGAGAAGAGAGGCTGCGTTTTACAGTCATGATTTTCCCCTCGGCTTTACCGTCGCCCTTTAAAAACAACTTTGGCTTTGTTGGCTTGAACGACGCACAACCTGCACACGCATGAAGCATTTGTACACCAGCTGTCCATCATTGTTAGAGTGACTTTAGCAACAGTCACAGTCACTCACAGATAATCGCCCCGCGGTTACCCGGAGCTCAACCAGGGTCACTGAGGGTCTCAGAGAGGCTTTCTAAGATCATCATGTGTCATCCAATCACGTTCATGTTCGGTGTAGATGCAAAAGTGAACGCCTCATTGTCGTCCTGAGCGCTGTTCTTGAACTTCACCTTTTCAGCTTCCGCTCGACCATAAAAAACATGCTACAAATATATGTTGAATTGAGAGAAGGTCGACTCTTAAAAGCGTGTTAGAAGTGGAGAAACTCTGCTCTGCAGGCCTGGATGGTCTTCAAACAGCTTCTTTGGCTTCAGTTTTTAAGGCTTCACTGTGTGTTTAATGAATATCAGAGAGAGTTCAGAGCGACTCTGCAGGATAAATGTTCACACTGGAATTCAGTTTCTGTGGCGCGGTTTGAGCTCTGGACACCACTCAGTGTCAGGATACAGAAGGCAGTGGACCGTCTTAAACCTGTGAACACAAAGAGTTCATTACAGGAAACCATCAACAATAATTAGAACAACTGTGATCGCAGCTCATACAGATGGTAAACGTAACCATGCTTCCTGATGTTCAGACACAGCGAGTGTCAGTGTTTACCTTGTGGGGTCCTCAGCCAGTGAAAACCCTCCAACCACACCGACTACATTTCTTCTGTTCTCAAACCCTCCGTAACTCAGAGTCACCTACAGCAAAACAATCATACAGTGTACAATAAATCAACATTTAATGGAGACTGACGTCACAGCTGCTGCCACTGAAAACCCCCCTTATGTGAAAATGACGGATTTTAGTGAATCTAAACAAATGTATACATTAAATACAAAAACATGTAGTTAGGGCTGGACCAGCTGACCCTGAATCCTCCCTTAGTTATGCTGCAATAGACGTAGACTGCTGGGGGATTCCCATGATGCACTGGGTGTTTCTTCTTCACTCATGTGTTAACAGACCTCTCTGCATTGAATCATATCTGTTATTAACCTCTGTCTCTCTTCCACAGCATGTCTGTATCCTGTCTTCCTTCTCTCACCCCAACCAATCACAGCAGATGGCCCCGCCCCCCCTGAGCCTTGGTTGGGTTTTCTCTGTATGTATTATTGTAGGGTCTACCGTACAATATAAAGCACCTTGAGGCCTGTTGTGATTTGGCGCTGTGTAAATAAAACTGAACTGAATTCTTTGTAAGGTTGTATTTCCTAAATGTTTCCTAAATGCATCAAGATATTAAACTATATTGGGATGAATCTGAGCTTCCGTTATCAAACTGAGTGGGTTGGTATCATCTCCCGCTCACCTTTAGTTCACACTGGTTTTGTGGGTCATTTTATAAAATCTGTTAACTGAACTACATTTAGAAGTTTTTCAGGTTTTGTTTCAGAGCTCTGTAAAACGCCGTCCCCGGCCACCTCTGGCTCACCTGCTCCAGCACAGTGTCAATGGGCAGCTTCTGCAGGTTCTCCAGGTGAGAGTGGAAAAGGTGCGTGTGTGTCAAAGCGACCTCCAACAGCGCCTCGATGATGTAGCCGATGGTACAGTCATCTGGAAGTCGGATCTTCTCTGCTGTGCTGATGAAATTCCCCAAACTGAAAACACAAGACAACAGTGTCCAAGCTGAGCTTTCTCAGGATCAACCATGCAGAAAATCAAGAGGACGTGTCACCCTCACAAGGGCTGCGCAGAGATTTGATGCGAGTTGAAAAGAGCATGCATATGTGTATAAATGTATATATTTTGCACCAGAATGTACAAAATATAAGAGCGTAGAAATCCTTTCAAAGCAGAGGCAGCATCCTACCTGGCCCACGGACTCATTTTCAGGGCCAGACCTCGACTGATACAGAAACCTGCTCCACCTGTAGCAAACCAGAACTTGACAGACACCTGAACCAGAAAGGAAAGAGCACATTAGCTAGCTCTTATTACATGTCGCCAACTTTCATGTCACAGGGGACTGTGGACAGCGTCGCCAAATTTCCCTTATTTGTGTGCGAGTGGAGCCATAAATGCGGAAAGCTGACCCACCGAACCGTCACTCTTGACCCTCTCTGCAGCCTCTATAGGGTGATCCAGACTGGGCCGGCCCAGGTAGACGTCCTGGCTGTGGTGGTAAGACGAGAGCAGCTGCAGCAGGCTGGGCAGGATCACGTAGTTGTCATCATCCACGTGGCAGAACCACCTACGACGCAAACACACAGGGTCAGACGTGCAGGCTGAGTCAGAGCTAACTGCTCCATCCTTGCAATCACTCACTTCCTCTGAGACTCGATGAATTTATCGTACTCTACAGACATCTTGCAGCACAGAGCCTGTCGGGTGTGAGCTGCTGAGCAGTTAGTGTTGATGATGTTAGCTCCTGGTGAAGAGACAACAGAAAAGACTTTAACCTAAGATTTCTTAGAGCATCCCACTGCATCTCCATATGTAGACTGGATATAATGGCAGTAACTCTGCTTTGTTTCAGATCTGCATCGATCCATGTGGCTACAGCACATTATCTTTGTGATGAGACAGCATAAGGGTTTGAATAGACTCCTGCAGAGCTGTGTGCAAAATTCTAAGAGTTTTATAAACAGACAGTGAGTGAAGAAGAAGAAACACCCAGTGCATCATGGGAATCCCCAGCAGCATAACTAAGGGAGGATTCAGGGTGACCTGGTCCAGCCCTAACTATATGCTTTAGCAAAAAGGAAAGTTTGAAGCCTAATCTTGAAAGTAGAGATAGTGTCTGTCTCCTGAATCCAAACTGGAAGCTGGTTCCACAGAAGAGGGGCCTGAAAACTGAAGGCTCTGCCTCCCATTCTACTTTTAAATACTCTAGGAACAACAAGTAGGCCTGCAGAGCGAGAGCGAAGTGCTCTAATAGGCTGATATGGTACTACAAGATCATTAAGATAAGATGGGGCCTGATTATTTAAGACCTTGTATGTGAGGAGCAGGATTTTGAATTCTGGATTTAACAGGAAGCCTAAACAGGAGAAATCTGCTCTCTCTTTCTAGTCCCTGTCAGGACTCTTGCTGCAGCATTTTCAAGGTTCAAGGTTCTTTATTATTTGTCACATGCATAGTTATACAAGTATAACACACAGTGAAATGTAGCCTGACACGCTCCTCGACATACATATACACACACACACACACACACACATATATAGTATATACACTGGGTGAATGTGCAGTAGTAGCAGCAAGCAAGTGAATTCTGTACATTAATATGAATAGACATCTGACTATTTTACAGGATAGACAATATAGACATATTTAAAATTAAAGGAATTGAAATGTACATTGTGCCTTGGTTTAGTGTCTGGAAGAGTCCTGTCTCAGTCAATTATAGATGATGTGAGAGGGCGGGTGTGTGTGTTTAGGGCCCGGATGGCTTGGGGATAGAAGCTCCTCTTGAGTCTCTCTGTCCTTGCCCGGAAGATGCGGAACCTTCTACCAGATTGCAGAAGTTGGAACAGTTTGTTGCCAGGATGGGACGGGTCCTTCAGTATCTGCGCTGCTCTAGTCCGGCATCTCCTGGTGTAGGTGTCCTGAAGCGGGGGGAGAGCAATCCTGCAGCAGCGTTCTGCTGTACAGATCACTCTCTGGAGAGCTTTTTGGTCCTTCACACAGCTGTTCCCAAACCACGATGTCATGTTCTGTGTGAGGATGCTCTCCACAGCGCCTGTATAGAAAATCCTGAGGATCTTTGGAGAGACCCTGAACTTCCTCAGTTGTCATAGGTGATACAGGCGCTGCCTAGCCTTTTTGGTCTGGACCTGAATGTGGGCAGCCCATGTCAGGTCTGAGGAGATGTGGACACCAAGATACTTGAAGGACTGCACCCTCTCCACTGGAGCTCCATTGATGATAATGGGCTTGTAGTCTCTGTGCTGACCCCTTCTGAAGTCCATCACCAGCTCCTTGGTCTTGCTGACGTTCAGCTGGAGGTGGTTGTCCTGGCACCACGATGCCAGATTCTTCACTTCGTCCATGTAGGCCACCTCATCGTTGTTGGAGATGGCACCCAACACCACTGTGTCGTCAGCAAACTTCACAATGGTGTTGGAGCCATGGGTGGCCACACAGTCTGAAGTGTAGAGGGAGTAGAGCAGTGGCGAGAGGACACATCCCTGAGGTGCTCCTGTGTTGATGGTGATGCTGTTGGAGAAGCACCTGCCCACCCTCAACACCTGAGTTCTGCCAGTGAGGAAGTCCAACACCCATGCACACAGATGGCTGTTAAGTCCCAGATCCCTCAGCTTTGCGAACAGTCTGCAGGGCACTATTGTGTTAAACGCTGAACTGTAATCAACAAACAGCATTCGCACATAGTTACCCTGTTTCTTGTCCACGTGGCTGAGAGTGGTGTGTAGGACGTGGGCGATGGCATCCTCTTTGGATCTGTTGGATCTGTAGGGGAACTGCAGCGGATCTGTGGTGTCTGGGATGGAGGAGGAGATGATGTTCTTCAGCAGCCTCTCAAACACCTTCATTACTACCGAGGTCAGTGCAACTGGCCGGTAATCGTTCAGGGATGAGGGTTTGCTGTTCTTGGGCACAGGGATGATGGTGGATCTTTTGAAGCATGTGCGGACCACAGACTTCGCCAGGGACTCGTTGAAGATGTAAGTGAACACACCTGCTAGCTGGTCAGCACAGCAGCGCAGCAGACGGCCGGTGATGCTGTCTGGCCCCGCCGCTTTCCTTGTGTTCACTCTCCTCAGTGCCGCTCGGACGTCATGCTCCGCGATGCTGGTCACCGGTCTCTCGCTGATGACGTCACTGTCCTCGGTAGTCAGGCGGTAGATAGCATTAGCCGCCTGGCTAACCTCGAAACGGGCGTAGAACCGATTCAGCTCGTTGGTGAATGCAGAGTCAGCGTTGATCGGCGCAGTGTCCCTGGCTTTGTAGTCCGTAATGGTGCGTAGTCCGTGCCACATACTCCGTGTGTCGCCCTGGTGGAAGCGGGACTCCACACGTTCCCGGTACCTGCGTTTGGCATCTCTCACCGCGCGCCGCACGCCGTATGAGGCCGCTTTGTAGGCGCTCATATCGCCAGTGGTGAGACCCGCGTTGTAGGAGGCGGTCCTGGCGTTTACTGCAGTGCGGATCGATCTGTCCATCCACGGTTTCTGGTTTGGGAATGTGGTGACTCTCGCAGTGGGGATAATCTCCTCCGCTAGCATATTGACGAAGCATACTGCTACTTCCGTAAACTCGTTGTCGACTGCGCATGCTCTGAACATGTCCCAGTCGACGTCGTTGAGTGCGTCCTGTAGCGTAGCTTCTGATTGGGCAGTCCACCGTTTTACCTCCCTCGTGGTCACGTCTTCCCTCCGTATGCTTTGTTTATACTGGGGAATGAGGAAGATGGCGTTGTGGTCAGACTTCCCAAAAGCCGGGTGTGAGACAGCTTTGTAGCCCTGCTTGTATGGCGTGTAGCAGTGGTCCAAAATCCGATCCCCTCTCGTTGGACACGAGACATGCTGGTAAAAGTTTGGCATGACTTGTCTGAGGTTCGCTTTGTTAAAGTCTCCTGCTACAATGAGGGCTGCGCCCGGGTCCTTGTTTTGAAGCGAACTCAGCACATCATGTAATTCGGACAAAGCCATACCTGTGTCCGCTTGGGGTGGGATGTAGACCACCGTGGCGATGACTAAGGTGAACTCACACGGCAGATAGAAAGGGCGGCACTTAATGCTCAGGAATTCCAGATGTGGCGAGCAGCCGCTGGAGAGAGTAGAAATCCTCCTGGCATCACAGCACTTTCTGTTTATCATGAAACACACTCCTCCACCTTTGGTTTTGTTCGACTCTCTCTCATTTTGGATTAGCTGAAGGCTTTTCAGGGAGTTTTTAGGACTTCCTGATAATAATGAATTACAGTCGTCCAGCCTGGAAGTAATAAATGCATGAACTAGTTTTTCAGTGTCACTCTGAGACAGGATATTTCTAACTTTAGAGATGTTGCACAAATGGAAGAAAGCAGTCTTACATATTTTTTTAATATGTGCGTTGAAGGACATGTCCTGGTCAAAATGACTCCAAGGTTCCTCACAGCGTTACTGGAGGCCAAGGTAATGCCATCCAGAGTAAGAATCTGGTTAGATACCATATTTCTAAGCTTTTCAGGGCCGAGTACAATAACCTCAGTTTGATCTGAATTAAGAAGCAGAAAGTTAGCGGCCATCCAGGTCTTTATGTCTTTAAGACATTCCTGCAGTTTAACTCATTGGTGCGTGTTATCTGGCTTCATGGACAGATAGAGCTGGGTGTCATCTGCATAGCAGTGAAAATGTATGCTATGTCTTCTAATGATGCTGCCTAAGGGAAGCATGTATAATGTAAACAGAATTGGTCCTAGCACTGAACCCTGTGGAACTCCATAATTAACCTCAGTGTGTGAAGAGGACTCTCCATTTACATGCACAAACTGGAGTCTATTAGATAGATATGATACAAACCACTAATTATTCAAATCAAATACCTACAACAGTGTACTCTAAGGGCTGTAATAAAATATTATGCTCAGTTTCTGTGCTGTGATGAGCTCTGGAACCTGACTGAAACTCTTCAAATAAGCCATTCCTCTGCAGATGATCTGTTAGCTGTGTTAATGTAGCAGATAAGCACAAACATAACTGTGTTGTAACAGGAAGTGATTGATCTATAACTGTCTTTATGTGATGCAATTTGTCTGACAGCACCATCATCGTGCATCTCAGTTCTAAATATTTCAAAGCTAACTGTCCACAGTGCTGACACGCTGGCAGGAGCTGGGCTTCTTTGCTTTGGGACACCCAGAAGTCAGGTTTCACTCACAGCACTGTGGACTCAGTCATCATTTTTCAGCCTACTTCAGTCTTTTTAAAGGTCTAATTTTTAACGTTGTAACAACAGCTTTTGTTTGTCCAAATGGTATCAAAAAATACTGCTGAACATCAACAGTTTCAAATATTGCATTCTCATTATCAGGATGAGTGTACACACGCTGTGAGAAAGGTCAGTACTGCACAAACAGCAGTGCACAGTCTCCACTGTGTCAGTACAACATGTGATCACACTGCTGCAGCAGTCTGAGGGACATTTTGGTTGTCATCCTTTTTCCCTGTAAAACTGGTTCCTCTTACCAGTCCTCATTTGCAGCTCCTTGTCATCACCATCAGTGAAAATGAAAGTCTGAAACAAACAAGGAAACGCTGTCAGAGTTGTGCAAGTGCACAATTACACAAGCTAATGCTCTGCAGTGAGGATGCAGTGAAGAACAGCTTCGCTCCTATGTTTGCTCTCCTTGATCAAGACGAGCATTTGCAAGAGGAAGAGCAGAGATGGAGAGCAAGTAAGAAAGACCGCTTCATTTACTTTAGAAACACACGGTCACCAGCTGCACCGACTCTTTATTTCAAATTATTTGTGCTACATTCATCAGCTGACTCCTCACTCTACACTGGGACTGATTATTTGTGCATAAGGTGACATCAGGCTGGACTTTACATCGTTCCTTTAATGTAAAATAAATGTAGCACATCCACCCCTCCCCTTTACAGCTGCAGGTCCAACCCAACCACCTCTTCCAGCACTTCAGGAGACACACTGAGATGGTCCCAGCACACGCTGGAGAGACGATATCTCCAGCGTGTGCTGGGTCTGTGCCATGGTCTCACTGGGAGGAGGACTTGGCCCCAGTCACCTCATCTAAGGGTCATTTCAGGCATCCTACATTCCCAAACCATGTACAGCTCCGGCCTCAATCATTTCTCTCCTTTCTTAACCTCCTTTATACTGTATGATTACACAGGTCTGCAACCAAAACACTGCACAGGATTTCCTGACTGTTTCTTATAGATTGTTACTCACTGAAACCAGGAAAATATTTTAAAAATTACATACATTACACCTCTTTGCTTAGGCTGCTGCCCCCGCGACCTGGCCTCGGATAAAGCGGATGAAGATGGATGGATCTGGTCAGATTCTCTTGCAAAACTCATGTTTTTAGTTTCATTAAGCAAAATTTCCTTTTTTACTCTGGAATCCTATACTTGAGTCAAAAACATATCCAATAAGGATTTCTTACATTAACTTAATATTTCTAAGATATTTCTAAGACTCTTGAGAAATAAAAGTAGAAAACGTGAGGCACTGAGGGGCTTCAGCAGGCGGGCGGGTGCGGTGGGTTTGGTGGTGTGAGAAGCTCAGAATAGTGATTTATTTTCACCGCTGTTGGGCTTTTTTTAATGTAAATAACTGCACGTGATGGAGGGAAGTGGAGTTTTTGGATTCAGCACCCTGAAAAACATAAATTGACCAAAAACATCCAAGCAGCTGAAAAATGTGTTGTTTTTTTGCAGATCTGTGTGATTTCTCTGATGATTAGTTAAATGGAAGGACTGCATGTGACAGGAGCTTCAGTGAGGAGCAGCCTTCAGTTTCACAGGCACATTTACAGTTTTTTCTGATTGCTTAAGCACATTTTTTGTAACTATTGGCTAATTTTGTAAAACTCTTCACACAAATAAGAAAACCTGTCACCCAATAATCAAAACATTGTAGTTCTCTTGCAAAAGCAAACACAGCTAGATTAACCCTCCACACCTTCGTAAAAATGGTGTTTCCGTATCAAACAGTACACACAAGCCATCATCTACTAAGCACACAATGCGCCAACTGCACACTGATGGTATGAATACAAAACACATCTGGCTTTTGCTTTCTCTGTGCACAAGGTAGACTATGTCAGTTTGAGCTCATACTTCTGTCATAGATCCATAAGCATAGAGGGATCCAAACTTCAAGTACTGCTGTTTATTCAAACACATCAAAACAAACACAAGTGTTTATTTCCAAGTATAGGATTATTTGCAATCGCCATAATGACTATATGGGTTACTTGGTCTGCAGTGAACATGCTTCCTCTGCCCCAGCATCTGGTCATCTAGCAACTCTGTAAAGTAACAATTTCAGTATTTTTACATCAATGGTATTGGTGTGTTTCTCATTGGCATATGGCAGTGCTACAAATCTTTGTGCGAAGTGACTGTACTCACCGATTCTCATTTCAAGATGTCCTTATGGTGCTTGCTACAGTGTAGCGGCTCGAGTTAGGCTGGACCCGTTGGCCAGCTACCCTCAGGGTCATTCCACGGTTGATGACATGGTCCACTATTGTAGCTCTGATGTCATCAGCAATTCTATTTCTTACTCTTCCTACCCTTCCTCTCCCCCCTCCTCGTCTTCCTCTCCCCCCTCCTCATCTCCCTCTCCTCCCTCCTCGTCTTCCTCTTGCTCCTCCTTGTCGTCCTCTTCATCCTACTTCTTCACCTCCACGTCCTCTTCCTCGGCCTCCTCTACTTCTCACTCTTCCTGCTCCCTCCATTGTACTCCGCACACACAGCTTACCTGTATTATAGTGCTTAGGCTGATTGCAAAGTGAACTAATTATCTAAAGAAGTTTTCACATGTGAAAGTGTGCCAGACAGTTGGCAAATTAGTGTTAATGATAGCCATACATGTGTATACTTTTGCTAGGAGTGTGTTGGAAATTTGGTAATTGAGTGTTGTGCAGTGAATTGTGCCAACAGTTTTGCAAAGTGTGTGTTACAAAATTGCAAACTGAGTGCAAAGCAGTTTTTGTGCTTTTAGTTTTGCAAACTCAGTGAGTGGTTTTGCTATAAGTCTGAATAGTTTTAGAGATTGTGCTACAGGAATCACAGTTAGGGTTTAAGCAATCAGAAAAAACTGTAAACACGCAGGACACTTTACTGATCTGAGAGCAGTGAAACGATGCAGCGACAGGCCTGTAACACTCTCCAGCATCTGGAAGTAAGCAGTTAACCCACACAGACGAGAACTTAAAACTGGTTTGAGGCAAACTGCTGATACTGGGTCGACAACCTGAACTGGAACAGTTGTGTGTGACTGTGACGTGTGTGGCTGCAGTGCAGCAGGCTGTTTGTGCAATAAAGCTCCTTCTCTGCAAACTGAGGCTCTTTGTCCGGCGCTGGGACTCGATAACTGCTTTTAATAGTGCGTCAGACCTGCACTTGCTGTGCTGGTGACTTTAAACTCCAGTTACTTTAATGAAAAGCTCCATTCACACGTTAGGTTTTGAGCACGTTGGCGAACATCAACTACATTACATCGTGATGTTTCTTGACCTCAGCTGCTGCAGGAACAGACATGCATGAAATATTAACGGCAGTTTCCACTTTGGGGGCCACACACAGCACACAGCACACACACACACACACGCACACACACACACACACACACACACTCACACAGCACGCACACACGCGCACACACAGCACACACACACGCTCACGCACACACACACACACACTCACACACACTCACACAGCACGCACAGCACACACACACGCTCACGCACACACACTCACACGCGCACACACGCACAGCACACACTCACGCACACGCACACACACACACACGCGCACACACGCACAGCACACACACACGCTCACGCACACACACACACAGTACACAGTACACACACACACACACAGTACACAGTACACACACACACACACACACACACACACACACACACACAGCCACACACAGCACGCACACACACACACACACACACACACACACACACACACACCTGGATGTAAGCATTAGTTGTTGTGCACAGCAGACCGTCGTGCACACCGAGTGAGCAGCAGAATGATTCGATAACTGAACGATGAAGATTTTTAAACGTGCTGCGGTTGTGCTAAATGTCACCGGGGACAAACTTTACCACATTAGCTGTGCAATCTCAAAATCCACCCTAAAGAGCCACACAGTGTACACACCAGTAAATCCTTCACGACTAACATCTGTGTGTATACACAATCCAGATCACATGCACTCACTACATGCTGTGGGAATGCGTTTCTGTCACAGCCACTTATCTCCTTACAGCAGCGCTCTCAGTCTCAGCTCGCTTTAACGCAGTTCTAACTGACACAGCACAACTGTGGCACGCTCACACAGCCTTACACTGGTGCTCTGCAGTGAAAGCTGCATCTTCACTTTTTGTGTGGAAGCTGCAGAAAGTTGTGTCCATGCAAAGCACAACCTTTCAGCACTGCAACTAAAAGTTTAGATCATCAGGAGACAAAAACACACACTTCCTTCTGCAGCCAAGAATTACTTCAGTAATGTGTAATCAGACATGTTTCAATTATCAATGAGTTGTTTGAATGTGCGGCACAGTGTTAGTTTTACTTCTCTCATATTATGGAACAAAAGTCAACAAAAATGTAAACTGTATAAATGTGTTTGAGGTGTACAGAGTGCAGATTTACAAAGTAAATATTGATTTTAAACATTTTCAGGGAGCTCAGATTCTTTTATTTCATTTGTATATATTTGAATGTCACATTTCTCATGTGCCAGCTGTTGTTAAATGATCATTTACTCTATTTCTCCAGTTTATATCAGGATTGTTTCTGTCTGGCATCTGTTTGGGACAACAAAGGACGAGCACTTCACTGTGGACATCACAATAAAACTCAGTCATAAAGCCCACATGTGTCTTTCACTGTGTACATCATCATCATCATCATCATCAGTAAGCTGAGCAGGCACACACGAGTCGGTACAGGAGCACGGGTCAGAGCAACTCTGAAATAGCACCAGATCCTGGTTGATACCAAGACTGTAAGACCAGGCGGACCGACCGGACCTCTGCCTGCATCGACAATAGGAAAGCCTAACAGATGGACAGTGTGCACGGCCACGTGAAAACAGGAGTGGCACTCACCTGTTCTTTAGCTTGAGACACCCAGGTCTGAATGAGCAGCTCCAGTCTGGACTTGTGATACTTCCTGGTTGTCTTTACTGCAACAAAAATGTCCTTCAGCTCCAACTTGTCACGTGACTTATACTCTCGAGGTCCACCAACGCCTCTCTCAGGGATTCTTCTGACACCCTTTCCTGTTTTAGGACTGCTGTTAATGCTAATTTCAGTTTTGATGGGTTTCCCCAGCCCCTCTGAGCTCCTGTTAAGACCTGCCGTTATTTCTTTGTCCCCAACATGTAAAAAACCTGCTGGAACCCTGACTTGGTGTGACGTCCCCACCTGGGCAGGTCTGACCTGGGGTCGGGGCTTAGGCAGCTCCACCTGGCGTGCAGGGGGCCGGAGAGCTGGAATGAGCAGGAGCAGGAGGCCGCAGAACGCGAGAGAAAACAGGAAGCAGAACTTGCTGACCCCGACTGAAGCTATGTGCATCCTGACTGGCTGATGGAGCAGATTCATCAGCCTCCAGGGCTGCAGTCACTCCCAGCAGCACCCTGTCCCATCATCAGATCACAGCGACGAGTCCTGCATAGAAACAGGAAGATTCAACAGCGTGTGGAGAGGCACATTCATCCCAAACCCTCAGTTTAACAGCAGCACAACGTCACCTGCAACAACACGGGTCCAGCTGACGCTCTGCTAAAAGCCTAAGCTATTTCAAATGTATAAGCTACAAACATGATCAGACTGTGGGGATGAAGACGGCGAACCTCTGCCAACCACACGTGATTTATTACAGAAGTTGCAACACTGTAAAGAAAAAGCAGAACCCAATGATCAGGACACGTTACATGTTGTGCTGTAATCAGCTGTTTGATGTGTCCATCATTTTTCCTTTTTATAATTCAGTGTTTTCAGTGGATGACAGGATGGATCCTACAGAGCTGTGCTGCTGGAATATGTGCATAATGTTATAGGTGCCCCGAAATGAGACCACACCCCCACCGAAGCTGGTGTCAAACTGTGTGCTAATAAAAGTGGCCTGTATTTATATAGCGCTTTACTAGTCCCTATGGACCCCAAAGCGCTTTACATATCCAGTCACACACTGGTGATGGCAGCTACATTGTAGCCACAGCCACCCTGGGGCGCACTGACAGAGGCGAGGCTGCCGGACACTGGCGCCACCGGGCCCTCTGACCACCACCAGTAGGCAACGGGTGAAGTGTCTTGCCCAAGGACACAACGACCGAGACTGTCTGAGCTGGGGCTTCGAACCGGCAACCTTCTGATTACAAGGCGAACTCCCAACTCTTGAGCCACGATCGCCACTTCTCCTCTTTAAGCCAGAGAGTCAGAGCACAGGACCGTTCTCTGCTTCACTTCATCCCGTCGTACGTGAGTGGGGGCAGCTGCGGTTGCTGTTTTCCAAAGTGTTCCTGATGCAGTCTTTTCCACCTGTTTTGAATGCAGGTCCACCTGAGCCCCAGACCAGGACTTTGTCACTGCTGCAGAGACGCTTCCCTCCGTTTGAATGCCTAAAATGCTTGCACAGCCACACGTCTCTGCCATGCCCCTTCATTAAAACAGGACATTACTTTTGCACGTGTCACTTTCTATATTTTATATGATATTTTCTGTGTGAAGGACTTACTAAGTGCTTTGCCTTTTAATCCTCCATTTCACAGCTGGATTGAGCTCGCCTGGTTCTCCAATGAATGCGCACATCTGTTTCCACTACTGGATTCTCCTCCATGCAAAGGGACTCACTTAGTTGCAAAATGGTGAACGGGATTTGCTGCCAGCCCCCATCTGAAGCGGTTCGACTGCAGTCCTACAGAGTGAGGGCAATCCAGCATTTACCAAGAAAATCAGAGTGCATGATCTGAGAGGCTCGCTGCACACAGACTGCTGTACTCAGCAGCAGCTGCTCTTCAGACAATAATATACAGCATGTGTGTGCAGACAGCAAAGCAACAACTGTATCCCAAAACCCTTTCAGTACAGAGGAACACCTTTCAGCGTTGCTCACGTCTTCTCTTTACTTCTCCAGCCTGCTGTGGCAGACGGCACCGAGCCTGCTTCCACCAGAGACCGACCTGATAAAGGGGACGTCTTTTATCCCACTGTCACCAAGTCACAAGGGACCGGGGTTCCCTCTATCTTACTCTATAAAGCACCTTGGGACAACAGAACTGACGACCATCCACAACAACATGAAATTCCCCAGCACAGATGGAGAGGACTTGGCCTTCTAATGTGAAGACTGGCTCCTTTTGATGGTTTTCTTTTATAATAGTGTTAAATGGGACATTCAGAGGGAAGATGGTCAGACAAAACTAATAAATCATTTTTTCATCCATCATCTTCCACTGATCCACCTCAGGGTGATCTAGAGTCACCAAATGATCGAAGCACCTTCATGTTTGGACTGTGCAGCAAAACCAACCCTGGATATAAATCAGTCAGGGACTGGCCTCCCCAAAGCCCACAGCTAAACATTACTGAAGCTGTGCTGAATAAAGCCATTATGTTTGCATATTTCAATGTCAGTGCATTCAGTCATTGTACCCAGTTGTCTTCTTTCTGCTGTTCTCTGTAAGAGTCACCAGCAGCTCGGTGTCCCTCCACTGCACATGTCCAAACCCTCTCTGCCTCCAACCCTGTCCATCACGCCCAGTGAAAACGTGAGCATCTTCAGTCTCTTTGTCCAAACCACACATCACAGCAGAGCTCAGCACCTACATGCAAACCCTGCCTTTCACGCCTGCTGTGATCCTTGTGTCACAAACCAGCCACGGACGTCGTCCGTCTGTAAACGTGCTCAGTAAAGAAGTCGTTCAGTGTTAGCTCGGCGAATAAACCCCTCCAGCTGTGAACCACTGGGAACATCCGAGAAGAGCCGTAAACAGGCAGACTTTCGTGTCTCCTGCGCCACGCGCGTGAACTTCTTGTGCTACAACAAGCGCTCCTTAAATGGGAAGATTTTAAAGTGGAGTCTGGCATGGTGGAGGAGCACAGGCACCGGGGCTTCGCACCAACTTACCGTGAAACATCAGAGCACACGCGTTTACCACAGGAAACACCAGGAAAGCGCCAATGCAACACAAACGATCCCGGGTTTGTTGGACGGTAAACAGCACCTGGACCCGTCTCGTCGTCTTTCCCCGGTGTGCCTCCGCTCCGACGGCTCTCGGCTAGCCTGACGGTAGAAAAAGCCCCCTCCACCGGCAGAGTTACACTCTGTGCCCCGAGTGAGGGTTAGCCAAACACTCCACAAACGACGCACTCACGTCAGACCCGCACCGGGTTAACCACGGTCAAGAAGGCTGTTCCGGTCAAACCTTTCAAAATAATGAATACGACGAGCAGTTTGTCGTCGATGTCGGGATCAGCCCGTGTTTGTCTGCTCTGACTTCATTTCAACAGGAAATAAAACTTATGAGGACTGTGACTGAATCAGCTCTGTAACGCACAGCTTTGATGACGTTGTAACCTTAGTTTTATTTCCTTGTTTTAAAGGTAAATTCCAACCTTTGAATGTAACCAATCACCGTTTGAATGTCACATGGTTTGAAATGATCGTGTTAAATGTGCATCTTTTTATTGTTGTTAAAATGTTTCAAGTTCTACCTCAGCGCCCCCTGCCTGTCATGTTTGTCCACTGCATCAGTGGCAAAGCAGACTGAGACAGCAGGGATCAGCGACCTACCAAAATAATGTCTATTTATTAGAAATATCAATAAGCTGATGTGTCACGTTCTTAAGCCTTACAATGAGATGAAACAGCCTTCACTGTAAGGTTCAAGGTTCTTTATTATTTGTCACATGCATAGTTATACAAGTATAACACACAGTGAAATGTAGCCTGACACGCTCCTCGACATGTGCAAAAATTGGTGGGGGGGTGTAGAGGAAGAACATTATATATATATATATACATACACATATAGTATATACACTGGGTGAATGTGCAGTAAGAGCAGCAAGCAGGTGAATTCTGTACATTAATATGAATAGACATCTGACTATTTTACAGGATAGACATTATAAACATATTTAAAATTAAAGGAATTGAAATGTACATTGTGCCTTGGTTTAGTGTCTGGAAGAGTCCTGTCTCAGTCAATTATAGATGATGTGAGAGGGCGGGTGTGTGTGTTTAGGGCACGGATGGCTTGGGGATAGAAGCTCCTCTTGAGTCTCTCTGTCCTTGCCCGGAAGATGCGGAACCTTCTACCAGATTGCAGAAGTTGGAACAGTTTGTTGCCAGGATGGGACGGGTCCTTCAGTATCACTAATAAGTGGAAATAATTTAAATCTTTGACCAAATGTAACTTCTCTGCAATGGATTTTTAAAAATGATTATTTAGTATTTTAATTTTGCCATGTCATTAGAGTAATACCATATTTTGTTGCATTTAGCAAATAAGACGTACAGCAACAAACAGCTCTGACAATGGTCCAAGACAGATTTATTTCAGCATTTAAGCTACACATGAGTGAATCATAACGATCTGATAATTTACAGTTTATTCAAGTAAATAGGGAGTCCTCTTCTTCAAAAGAGTTGGTGTGAAGTTTCACTAGGTTCTCTGCTGCGACCAACAGTTTTTATAGCATACATGATTCCCTTAGGCTGTGTCATTGAAAACAGTGCAGATAATACCCTTCTCTTTATTTATACATGAAGCCAAGTGATACAAACAGCAATACAGGCATGTATTAAACGTATAAAGGCCTGGATGTCCTGTAATGCTCTTCTCCTTAATTTTCCATCTTTATAGTCTATTAGTTTCACGTTTATTGTCATTGGTGTTACCCAGGCTGAAATACTGTTTCTCACCAGCCTCTACAGTGCAATAGTCAATACAATTTAAAAAAGAAAAAGTTTTAAAAAGAGCAGTAAAAAATCGTAACAATAAATGGGGATAAAGAACATAAAATCTAAATTCTAAAACAAACACAAGTCTAAACAGTCACACTCATACAGGTAGCAGCAGCCCTTTCACAGAAGGGAGTTGTTAAAGTAAGTAGTGTGTGTATCTGGGGAGTATATTGTGTGTGTGTGTGTGTGTGTGTGTGTGTGTGTGTGTGTGTGTGTGTGTGTGTGTGTGTGTGTGTGTGTGTGTGCGCAGATAGGGGGCATCACAGTCCGATTGTGGATCTTACAGTGTAGCTGTGTGAGTAGCTGAGTGGATGGGGAGGGGGCACAGTCCATTTATCAGTCTCACAGCTTGTGCAAAGAAGCCTTCCAGCATCCTGGTGGTTCTGCAGCTGATGCTCCTGTACCTCTTGCCAGACGGCAGGAGGAAGAACAGGCCATGAGACGGGTGGTGGGGGTCTCTGATGATGGAGATAGCTCTGTGTATGCGGCCCTGTTTGTAGATCTCCTCCAGAGGCGAGAGAGGGGCACCAACAATCCTCCTGGCAGTCTTAACAATGCTATTCAGTTGTTGCTTCTTACAGGACTTGCAGCTGCCAAACCAAGATGTAAAACTTTGTGTCTGTTATAGTCCATTATAGTCCATGTTTGTCAGTTATCTTCAAATTATAAAATGCTTCAAATAAACGTGTAAGGAAAGCAGTTTGTCTCTAGTCTTCTGCATCCATCTGACATAGAGACACAGAGTTGTAAACACCACAGGTGAACTCTGACCGTATCCTGAAGATAGGATAAAGAGGTTCGGTGAAGCTGCAGTGGAACGTGTGGATGTGTGTTGGTGTATCAAAAATGATTCTGTAGAAGGATACAGTGCCAGCAGACCAGTCCAAATACACTCCCACTCTGTTCGTTTCAGTGGAGGGAGCAGGGCTATCTATGATCCGGACTGAGTTATTATGCCATGCAGAATAATTGTCAGCAGAACAGTCCAGACTCCAGGAGATGTTGTTCCCACCAATACGACTGTCAATACCATCACCACTCCTTTTAATCCCTCTGTAAGTCACTCCTATAGATACCAGCCCACTCCAGTCCACCTCCCAGTAACAGTGACCAGTCAGGCCACGTGTACACATCAGCTGGTACCAGCACTCAAACCTCTCAGAGTGATCTGGATACAGCCATTCCTCGTCGTCATCTGTCACAATGTTGTTTTCTGTCAGGTAAAGGTTCCTGTGTACTGTGTTCGGGTCCATTTTGAGTTCACAGGCGTCTGACGGCAGATCAAAATGAAAACAGAACCGTCAGAACCGTCCACAGAGCCAAGCACTGATGCCAGTCACATCACATGACTGCATCACCACGCAGATCACATGACCCAGAGCAAATTAATCCATTGTTATATCAAATTATTTTATACTACAGCTTCAGATAAACAATTAGTAAATGTACTGCAAGTCAGCAAGTTTAAGGCATAAAATCTTAAAAGGTAAAATCGTTTTGCCAACTTAATATTAAGAAATGTGATAACAACACATCGGTGCTAAAACATGAAACAAATCTTTTAACTGTGAGCTAACAGAGTTCAAAGACATTTGGTAGGCATCAAAGAAATGATACAAACTCTACATAATCAAGTTTGATCATAAATGTATTTAAACCTTCACAAAGTCCAGGTCATAGATCTGTCTTTTCTTTAGATGAATGACACTCGGTGTATGTATATATATATATATATATATATATATATATATATATATATATATATATATGTATATATATATACATAAGCTCATTTTAGCTTCATTAATCAAGCTAAAAACACTTACATTTCCTCAGTCCTGGTTTCAATCGTTGAGCTCCGCAGCTGTCCAGCCTGGAATAATAATTCAAACAAAGAGACATGAAAATGTTTTCATACATTCGTTGGTTTTGTTTAGCTGAGTTTGGAGGATAAGCAAGACACGATGTGCTTGACTAGCTAAAAATTTGCATCTCAGAACAGTATTCTGTCCTCTAAAAAAATCTGATTTATTACTTCCAGGCTGGACGACTGTAATTCATTATTATCAGGAAGTCCTAAAAACTCCCTGAAAAGCCTTCAGCTAATCCAAAATGGCTTCCTGTTAAATCCAGAATTCAAAATCCTGATCCTCACATACAAGGTCTTAAATAATCAGGCCCCATCTTATCTTAATGACCTTGTAGTACCATATCACCCTATTAGAGCACTTGGCTCTCGCTCTGCAGGCCTACTTGTTGTTCCTAGAGTATTTAAAAGTAGAATGGGAGGCAGAGCCTTCAGTTTTCAGGCCCCTCTTCTGTGGAACGAATTGTGGATTTGGGAGAGAGAGACAACCTCTCGACTTTGAAGATTAAGGTTCAAACTTTCATTTTTGCTAAAGCATAAACTAATGGCTGGATCAGGTGACTCCGAACTCTCCCTTAGTTACAGTGCAATGGGCCGAGGCCTCCGTGGGCTTCTTCACTCCCCTCTTCCAAATCTCTAAATGTTTATACACCTCTCTGCATTTAATGGTTAGTTATGATTCATCTCTGGCTCTCTTCCACAGCGTGTCTTTGTCCTGTCTCCCTCCCCTCACCCCAACAGATGGCCCCGCCTCCCCCGAGCCTGCTTCTGCTGAAGGTTTCTTCCTGTTAAAGTTAAAGTTTTTCCTTCCCACTGTTGCCAAGTGCTTGCCAATAAGGGTTTGTTTGTTGATTTTTGTAGGGTGTTCACCTTACAATATGAAGCGCTTTGAGACAACTGTTGTTGTGATTTGGGGTTATGTAAATAAAGTTGAACTGAACTGGATTGAGTGGGTGGCTATGGTATTGTTTGACCTTGGTAAAGACTTTTCTGATGGGTTTATAGCCTCAGTCACTTGTATTAAATAGAACATGATGTTTGTTTTGTACACTCTTGCTCCAGTTAGGGTAACCAAAAATGTTTTTACATGTGACTGACAGGTTGCTTGTAGTATCCATAGGTTGGTTTCTGAAGTCTTAATTTGAATAAGGTTACGAGCACCTGTCTTCCTACCTTAGAGAGTCCAATCTGCAGTGTGGATCCTGCAGTGCAGCAGAGAAGAGCGTCACTCCTGTGGGTCCTGGGTGATTATAACTCAGATCCAGCTTTCTTAGATGAGAAGGGTTTGAACTCAGTGCTGAGCTCAACGAAGCACAACCCTTCTTTGTTATCAGACAACCTGACAAGCTGTAAACATTTCAACATCATTGGGTTTATCTGTTTGAAATTTTGCATTAACTGTAGAAAATGTGTGATATGACAACATTAAAAAACTTGAAATAACAAAAAACAAAAGCATATTCTTATCTAACCTGAGAGTTTCAAGTTTGCACTGAGGACTCTTCAATCCACAAGACAGCAGCGCCACTCCTGAGTCCTGCAGGTCATTATTGTTCAGGTCCAGCTCTATCATACTGAATGACTGGCAACTGAGGACTGAAGCAAGAGCTTCACAGCTTTCATTCGACAGGCTACAGCCACCCAGCCTGAAGAAAAAAAAGAATTCAGTAAAATTTATAAGAAATCCAGCAAAATAGAATTTTCAGGACAAACTAGACCCTTCAGATTCTGAATGTTAGGCACCACAGGTTCAGAAGTGCTGATTTGAATATGAATGTTGTCACATGTTGTTGAAAAGCTCTTACCTGACAATCTTCAGTGTACACAGTTGACTCTCAAGTGGCGTGAAGAGATACGTGACTGCTAAATCCGTCAACTCATTATTATTTAGATCCAGCACTTCCAGAGTAGAGGACTGACTGCTGAGAACTCTGGAGAGAGTTTTACAGCTTCTCCATGAAAGCTCGCAGCCATTTAGCCTGAAGACATAATATTGAGCATTCATCAGAAATGTGGAATAAAAAAAATACAGAAAAAAAACAAAACAAATTTCAGCTCGTACTAATGAGAATTATTGAAAAATATTTGAATATAGATTTATTCATTCAGGGGTAGGTTCAGGTTACTATGGTGTCATTCATCGACACTATACATTTTCAATACAAACAGAGATAACAGAAAAGCATAATATTGCATAATGAAGAAATAAATAAAACCAAAAATGCCTCCTCTGTTTCACAATTTGATTTAAAATCATGTTAAATGAAATCATCATGGTTTATTAAGGTGGAAATAAGACAGCGTTGTGAAACATGACTAAGCTTCTCAGTTTGTTTCAAAGTTCAGTTTGGAATCTATAATTGTTCCGAGGTATTTGGACATTACACCATCGGACCTTTAAGGGACATGATCTTGAAGAGCACAGCCTCCATTTATTTTAAAACCACTAACAGGGAATCTAGCCATTTTTTTAACACTATTTGATTTTATTAACTGAAGTCCCCTCATTTCAGTGTTCCTGTTGAGATGTATACTTTAATTATATTTAATTAAATACAATTACATTTAAGTATTGATTATTCTGAGCTCTTGATGTCCCCATTTACTGTGTTTTTCTGTTAAATGTAAAGAACCCACATTAAACCTGTAATTCAGCGTTTGTTTGGGGTTGTTGTTTGTTTTTTCAGAAATGAATTCTTCTTATTATATAAAATTTAGATTTTGATTTATTGAATCACGTTTTTTGGTTGCTGTAATACAGTGGTTCTTTTAAGAAAAAATAAGATCTATGTTTTTCTTCTTCCTAAGATAATCTATCAAGCTATCAATCTATCTATTGGGCTGTCTGTCTGTCTGTCTGTGTGACCTGTAAATTGTGCGAACTGCAGCAAAAGAACGTGGATTAGAAATAATCATCAGTCTATTTGTATGCTATTTAGCACCAAGAATATTCACTGAGTAAAGCTTTTACTTTGACCTGGCCATTATTAGATTATGGGGCCAAGTTTAGACCTGAAAGCACAGAGTGGCCTTTAATGTTTAAATGGATCCAGCTGAAAGTTTAAGAGTCTCAGTGTGCAGCCATCACACTAAAAATTAATGGTAAGTATGAAAATACACATATGAACTTATGGAGATTAACAGTTTCCTGACTTTCCCTGTTTCATTTTCTAACCTATATATTTAAATAATACAATTTTAGTGTAAAAATTCTGAAACCAACCTGAGAACCTCAAGTTTAAAGTTTTTCTCCAGATCTGCAAACATTGTCCTTATGCCTGAATCATGCAGGTTGTTGTAACTCAGGTCCAGCTCTTTTAAACTAGAGGACTTGCTAAGAACAGAGGACAGTGCTTTACAGCTTCTGCTCAAAAGGTTACATCCAATCATCCTGATGGGGTAAGGAAAAAAACAAGTAGGAAGTTAATCATTTTTTCTCTTTCTTTACAGTATTTAAAGTGACAGTGACTTATCTGGTCGTGCATGAACATACAGAGATTTACTGGAAGCTTTGACCACTGGCAGCAGCCACATAAGACCTTCTTCAGAAGCAGAGTACTTCCTCAGGTCAAACTCATTCAAATCTTTTTCTGAAGACAGTAAGATGAAGACCAAAGCAGACCACTGAGCAGGGGATAGTTTAACCGTGAAAAGATTTCCTGATGTCAACGACTGTTGGATCCTTTCCACTAGAGAGTGGTCGTTCAGCTCATTCAGACAGTGGAACAGGTTAATGCTTCTCTCTGGGGACAGATTCTCCCCAATGTTCTCCCTGATGTACTTGGCTACTTCCTGGTTTATCTGTGAGTTTACGCCTGTCTCTTTGAGTAGTCCTTGTAGGAGAGTCTGATTGGACTGCAGTGACAAACCCAAAAGGAAACGTAGAAACAAGTCCAAGTAACCATTTGGACTTTGTAAGGCCTGTTCCACGGCACTCTGGTAGAAGAGTTTCAGTTCATATTGATTAGGCTTTGACATCTGAGTGGTTGTTTGCTCCTCTTCCAGCAGGTTGATTCCAGAGTTGATGAAGGTCAGATGGACGTGAAGAGCAGCCAGAAACTCCTGAACACTCAAATGGACGAAGCAGAACACCTTGTCCTGGTACAGTCCTCGCTCCTCTTTAAAGATCTGTGTGAACACTCCTGAGTACACTGAGGCTGCTCTGATATCAATGCCACACTCTGTCAGGTCTGATTCATAGAAGATCAGGTTTCCTTTCTGCAGCTGATCAAAAGCCAGTTTTCCCAGAGATTCAATCATCTTCCTGCTCTCTGGACTCCAGTGTGGATCTGTCTCAGCTCCTCCATCATACTTGACCTTTTTCATTTTGGCCTGAACCACCAGGAAGTGGATGTACAGCTCTGTCAAGTTCTTGGGCAGCTCTCCTCCCTTCTTGGTTTTCAGCACATCCTCCAGAACCGTAGCAGTGATCCAGCAGAAGACTGGGATGTGGCACATGATGTGGAGGCTTTGTGATGCTTTAATGTGGGAAATGATCCTGCTGGCCTGCTTTTCATTCCTGAAACTCTTCCTGAAGTACTCCTCCTTCTTCGAGTCAGTGAACCCTCTGATTTCTGTTATTACGTCAACACATTTAGGATCAATATGACTGGCCATTGCAGGCCGCGTGGTTATCCAGAGTCGAGCAGATGGAAGGAGTTTTCCTCTGATAAGGTTTGTCAGCAGTGCATCCACTGAGGTGGACTCTGTGACATCAGTTAGGATCTTATTATTTTGAAAGTCCAGAGGAAGGCGACACTCATCTAGACCGTCAAAGATAAACACAACCTGGAAGTCTTCAAATCTGCAAAATTCTGCATCCTTTGTTTCAGAGAAGAAGAGATGAACGAGTTCTACCAAGCTGAACTTTTCCTCCTTTAATCCATTTAGCTCCCTGAAAGTGAATGGAAATGTAAACTGGATATCTTGGTTGTTTTTGCCTTCTGCCCAGTCTAGAGTGAACTTTTGTGTTAATATCGTTTTCCCAATACCAGCCACTCCCTTTGTCAGCACTGTTCTGACTGGTTGATCTCTTCCCAGCAGCGGCTGAAATATGTCTTTACAGGCGATTGTCTTTTCTAACCTCGCACGTCGTCTAGATGCTGTTTCGATCTGTCTGACCTCATGTTCGTCACTGACCTCTCCGGTCCCTCCCTCTGTGATGTACAGCTCTGTGTAGATCTGATTGAGAGGTGTTGGGTTTCCTACTTTAGTAATTCCCTCAAACAAATGCTGGAACTTCCTTCTAAGATTTAATTTGAGTTTATCCTGGCAAATGGATGCACCCACTCCTGTTGGACAAAAAACAAATGAGATGGTGTTAAAATTTCAGAACAATGAACAGCTGGTCAAAATTTAAAATATGAGGCTTTTCTAGCAGAGGATAAAATATAATCTGTTTGATAACCACGACAGCTGTGTGCTTCTCTGTGCTTCTCTGTGCTTCTCTTGGGCTGGCTGCTTCAGTCTGTATGCCAAATATCACTGGGCAAAATAAGAAGCCCAAGTTGCTCAGCAATGCCTCCACTGCGGAATTAATTCAATTCAGTTTTACCTATACAGTGCCAAATCACAACAAGAATCGTTTCTTAATGACTTGCTTTGTGAAATAAAGGTCACATTGACTCATCAAGTACTTTTAAATATACTTGTAATGTTTGTACAGACAATGACTAACCGTGTGGATGATTTCTTATTTTTAGACTCATTAAATAGTACGTTAGCCGCAGAGAAATCACTGGGTTATAGTGTCATATCCCAGTCGTTGTACACGACTACGTGCACCCACAACAGACTGAGGCTTTGCATTAGGGGTGGGCGGTATAAACAATATATGGTAGAAACAATATGAATTTGACCAACGGTAGGGATTTTGACTATACCGCTCTACTGCGATAGTGCATGCTGATGATGTCATCAAGTGCCTGTTTTGGTCAAAAGCATTGCAGCAGCTGCAAGAAAAATCATCTGCAAATTATGCCAGCAACAGTAATAGTGAAGAGATGAAGCACTTTTGGAATATGAGGAAAGCCAAAAACTGTGCTTCCTCCACTTCTGTACCATTGATTCATTAATGCTGAATTCTCTGGCAGCTGCTCTATTCCCATGTTGTTGCAGTATATTAATGACTAACCTCGTATTGTGGATGGATTATCTCAGTTGTTCTCCTGACTGAAGTTTGGTCCATTTAGAGGATCCTGCCATGCGATTGCATTTGTCCCTAACCATCGGGAACCCTCATGTTAACTTTTATCGATTGGAAAAAAGTTAGCGTTCATCCTCCAGCTTCACTGTGTTTATATATATATATATATCTGCTATATATGCTAACATAGCTGTGTCGCTAGCAATCACGTAGCACATCATTATATACCAGCTAGCCCAACTTCAGTAACCCTACAAACATCACTGCATGTTTAGGTGGAAGCTAGCGAGCTAACTTCCTGCTAACTTCTAACGCTGTTGAATTTAATAAATTCTGTTTTCATGGATGCCTGGATGTTAAACTTAATTGTTACACCTGGTAAAGCAGCAACACTGATCATTTTATTAAAGGTGAAATAATTTAGACAGTTTTTAACTCTCAGTGATGCTGCAGTGTTTGTTTGACTTTGGGACCTAAAGTGGACGGAGTTTAGGACCCAGATTACTCTGCGAGGCTCCTGACTACAGTAGCCGTAATGCTCCAACAATCCATCAAGCAGTGCGGCTTCGTAGCTTACCAAAGTCGTACTACAACATTTTTGACAGATTTTTGAGCGCCGTGTAGCACATGAAATCGGTTTGAGGTCAGTGAGCACAACCAGAATTCATACATGAGACGCACCGGATTGTAAGGCACACTGTTGATTTTTGAGAAAATTTACGGACTTTAAGTGCGCCTTATAGTGCGGAAAATACGGTATACAGAAGAAAATAAATTGTGATATATATCGTTACCGCACATGCTTCAACCTATACTGCGATATGGATTTTAGGCCATATCGCCCAGCCCTACTTTGCATCAGTGGGAGTGCCCTTACTGCTCTGCAAACAGACAGCCAGCTCCTCCTGGTTCATCCCCCTCAGAAAGTCCAGTGTGATCTTCACAAAAGCCTCCCTGGTGCTCCATGTCTGCTCTTCAGCCTTAGAAGCTAACACATCCTCATCCTCGCTGTCCTTCTCTGGGCAGGTGGAACGCTGCAGAATCCTCTGAAACCTTTTAAGCTCATTCTTCACAAAAGTGATGATGTTCTCTTCAAGCAGCTGGAAGACAATATTATAGGAAATTATCTTTCAGCATTTATGCATGTATTTATTTATGCATTGTGCACATATTCTCCTCTGTCAGGGGAATGTCATTGAGCCAATTAGAAACAGAACAGTGATGAAAATGTGCTTTAGACTTTCCCACCATAAAAACTGAGTCCAACGTTGTTTGATGCTGCTGAGCAGACTGACAGCTATGAACCTCAGACTTTTGTTGCCTGACTCTGCGAAGAGAGCGCACACGTGCACACATCCACAATTAACATTATTAAATGCAGTAATGGTCAGTAACACTATGGATCACTGCATAAATAAACTGAAAGTTGAATATGTACACAGTTATTTCTGGTATCTGTCCTCTGATCGGCACATATTCAGCACAGCACGGACCAGTAGGTAACGATAAAGGGTCTACAGGTGTCTACAGGTGTACGTGGGATTAATGAAATACTAACTGAGCCAAATGAAATGCAGAACAACAGTAAAGTGGGCGGGACACTGACAGTTTACATCAGCTAAGTGTAGGAGTGAGGACAGCAGTGTGCTATGAGACGCTCACAAGTCCCTGATGGAGTGGACATTTAACCCTTAGGTGCAGCATTAGTGATGTTTTTGAAAACAAAGAGGCAGGGCTGATTGCTTTTATGACTTTCAAAATGTTACCTTTTGTCAACAGAGAGGTTCCCTTCTTTGAAATTTAAAGGCGGGTCCATAGACCAGTCACTTTTCATGGACATAGAGCTGGACAGAGGAGAGCCTGCTAACTGCTTCGGCATCCTGGTAGGGAAACAGCATACTGTATATTAAATTTCAAAGATATCAAATCCAGTCATTATGTGTCAATGATTTTATTATACTTACTTTCTATTTGTAAACATTTGCTTTAAAAACTGATTTTTTGGATAAACAAATACATAGAGGGACATAACTTGGTGAAGCCCACATGGTTACTCCACTTCCTTTACAACATGGCTCACTGTGTTTGCCATGGGGGGAGACCCCCACAGAGCATTGCCTCAGGATTATTTTAAAATGAAATAGTACTAGTTTGTATGCCGTATAAGAAGTTCTTGTCTCACCCCGTATCTTCATTGCCCAGGCAGGCTTCCATGCTCTTGGCATGTTTAGATGGTGTGCCCCCCTCCTCTGTGTCTCCACACTGACTCATGGCTGAGTGGACCACAGTGTCTTAACACATGAACACACACAACAACATGAATGCTGGGCAGCTCAGTTACGAACACGACACTGTGCTGGATAATAAAGTTAGCGCCCAAGCTCATGTCATCACCTGTTCACTCACACAGCTCAGCAGCAGCTAGTTTCTGTATTTCACCTGGACCCACAGAACGGGAGCATGATCAAAGTCGACTTTGATCATGCAGAAATAGAGTCATATTAAAACATACCGACATCAGATAAACTATATCCAGTAGAATGAAGATGCACAAATACGCAGGACGCCATCTACTTCCATTAGATATTTGCATCCTATGCTGTGAGCTGTTATACTCCACACTGTGCCATTGGCCCGATATTACTCATAGCTTGATAGCGCAAAGCATGTTATGTGATTAAACACTGCAGATGGAAATGTATTATATAAACTATGAAACCAATGAAACGACGCTGGGCCCGCAGTTCGGCCCACTCCCTGCTGACTGTATCTGCCCTCTTACCTGTTCAGCTGTTGCACATTTTACATACAAGCTCAAATGTACATTCAACATTGTTACGTTATGAGTGGTGCTCGGTAAAAGAAGACTTTTAAATACCTTGTAGCCAGAAAAACGAGCCGCAGCTCTGCGTAGAAATGAAACCGAAACTGTTTTCAGTTGTGAAATGAGGAGAGAGCTCAGCAGTGACACCCTGAGGCAGAGACGTGATCACTGAGCTGTGACCAGAATTATTTCAGTGGTGGATTTCCACAAAATCATCTATTCTTAGCCATTTTATTTACAAAGCAAGGAGAGACGGGCATTTGTCAATAGGCAGATTTGGAAAGGATGTGCAGATGGAAGCGTACTAACAAGTAAAGGGGGCTGAAAAAGGCTCCCGGAGGAGCTGATTAAGGAAGACAATTGGAGAGGAGGATGAATCAGGAAGTGTAGAGGAAGGCGGAGGAAGTGAGAGCCGCTGTAAAGAAGTCGATGCAAAGCTGTAGTAACCTTGGCCAAGATACTAACCCCGGTGGTAAACGGTCTCTGATGCATCCATCAGAGTGTGGACGCTAGAAAGAAAGCACCACTGCATAGAAAAAGTGTGAATGGGTGTGAATAAGGCATGTTGCATCAAAGTTTCAGTGCTCGGGGAGAGTATAAGAATCAGGAGAAAAGAATGTTTCCTATGGGAAAGATTCATGGATGCAGTGAAGGACACGCAGAGGGCTGATGTGAGGAAGGAGGATGCTGGAACGGGGGAGATGGAGGCAGATGATGTGCTGTGGAGACGCCAAGAGGGAGCAGCTGAAAGAAGACGTTTTCCTTTAGAAAAAGCCTGCAGTGACATCTGTGGTCCGACAGCATGGAGGAACTTTATATACAGTCAACAAGTTGCCCTGCTGTGGTATGGTGGAACAAAAGCAAGGAATGAAGCTAATCATAAGGATCAACTTCTGTTCATCAGAGAGGAAAACACAAAAACTTGTGTGTAAAACAGACATTTCTACTCTCTAAGGTTTATGTGACTTTCTGGGAATGCTGGTTTTATTTTACAGAGAACTGATGGATCATTAGGATTTCTTATTTCCTATAAGATGCTGTGGAGCGCCTACGATTGCAGGTGAAGGCACCATGGTGATGTACCCCAACAGGAAGTTGTTAGTCTGGTTGAAAGGCGGAAACTAATCGGAAATCTATCACAATAAAGTGTTCGGACTTATCATCTATTTACAAAAGAACACACACACACACACACACACACACACACACACACACACACACACACACACACACACACACACACACACACACACAGCATGAATCCCCAGGTGTCTGTTTATTATTAACACATTAACACTTTACACTTCTTGTCACTGTTCAACATCAACAGCACGTCTGATTTTTTTCTCATCCAAATGGAAACACGAGTTCATTACAGCACTTCAAATACACGTTCCCATAAAACTAAACACAGGGATGATGAAAATCCAGTTCAATAACAGCTGTGGTGATCAAACCAACATGAATGCCGACTAACGGCTGACTAAACCTTAAATCTCAGACATACTCAGGAGTTGGAGATGCTGGACGCTGATTTCAAACCATTAAATAAAAGGCTAAAGAAACAAAGGACAGTCCTGAAGTCTATATGTAATATTATCTTCCAAGCTTTGAAACAATCAGAGGTGACGGTACAGAGTTTGGACAGTTCCCTCTTTAACTGGTTTACAGCAGGAAACAGAGACGGAGCAGGTTACAGCCATACACTAATTCAAACCAAACATTCACTTTAAAAGCTGCAATGAGATTATGATTCTAATGCTGATATCACATTGTTAAAGATGCTTTAATCCTGGAATACGTGACCTGTGAAAACACTCATCACAGCTGAGGTGTTGTCACTGCAGGAGCAGGATCTTCAGTGGGTTCCCAGTGAAAACTCTCCCAATAATCACAGTCTGCGTGGAATCAGTCCTGAGAGTGCAACAGCTCGACTCACAGCAACAAACAGCTCAACGTGCTGTTTCATGTGCAACAACAGCCTTAGTTTGTGATCTAAACTCTCAAAGATGGAGACGTGCATGTGCATAAAGTCTCCTTTGATATGTGAGCATGTGTGACTGAACTGGCAAAGTATGTGACAATGCATCACAGGTGATGTACGGGGACTAAAAACAAATGCTTGTTTAAAAAGTTAGAATCAAACGGTGAGAACCTCGTCACTGTGTAAGATGGACACTTACAGGAATGATCACAGTTGTGATCGAGCAAAGAAACATCGCAAAATATCTGACAAAGCCGACTGGATGTTGTCTCACTGAGTCAAAGTTACAAAACCTACATTCTGTATTTCCAGTAAGCCAAAGCATTTATCATGAGATGTACCATGTGATAAGAGATCTGACATATGTACAGCGGAGTAGTGCTCCACCACTGGGGAACCAAATATTCATACAGAGCTTAATCAGTTTAAAATCATTTAGGGAGTAAATGAGCGATCGCAGCGCCGCCCGATGTTAGGGCCAGATTTAGTGCTAGTGTGAAACCTTCTGCTGGGGTTCACCAAAGAGGGCAAAGCTCCACGTTCACATACGAAGCTGCCATCAGATTATTTCAATGATTACCTGCAAAGAGCAACACAGACGACTGGAGCGAGGTGTGTCCTCACAGAAACAATACAGTGCAAGCACAGGTTTTACACACATCTGTGTGAAAGCAGCACAGCAGCTGATGAATGAGAGCAGGTGGGGCTCGGGTTCAGCTCGGGTGCAGCTCGGGTGGAGCTGGTCTCCAAGGATAGAAAGATGATCCAGGGAGCAGTGAGCTGTAAGCAGCATGTGAGAACTAATGACGACAGTCACACAGACAGACGACTTTATGTCCTTAAATCCAGCGAGACGCGATCATTTATTTACGTTTGATTGTATATAAACTTGTGGGCGACCGATGATGCACCTCTGCATACACGTAACTGCTGCATATGAAAATATTCTTTTGTTCAGCTTGATTTGACCTTTGTGAAAATGTTTGGACTGATTGTGTGATATCTGTGTTTCAGTCTAAATGCAAAGACCAGGTTTGTGGGTATAAGCCCAGGAGTACGCTTCACTTCACAGGGACTAAACTACAGCTCATACACAATAAAGCTTCACAAAGTGCCACCAGGGGGAGACAAAACACTGCACTGGGGCTCATGCACGGCCACACAAACACAGGACGGGATCACTGAAGACTGTGCTGGATGGGCCGAGGCCCGATCACTCGTCGAATCTTCCCTCCAGGATGCTCTCGAACGAGAAGGGGACAAACTTGAAGCCCTGGCCCGAGTAGAACTTGTTCTGGAACTCAACCCTGAAAGAAAAAGAGAGAAGACTGTTTGGTTAAATATCCACACAAGCATGTATGAAAGTTGTCCCGTTAAAGCCTTTTTAAACTAGTCAGAAGCTCCACATGTCTCCAGCATGTACACCCCAGAGCTGGTTCCTGCCGCTTGTTTTAGCCCCGCCCACAGAGGCTGTTTCTGTACTTGTGGCTTTAAATGAAACAAGCCGCTGCTGCCCACACCCTTTCCAGTGCTCTGCCTTTCCAGCCATTCCCAGCAACGGAAAAGAAGATAAAACTCAAATTGGGAGTTTGGATTGAACCTAAATGCAGACACAATGTTATTTATATAGCAACAGTGCACAGCAACAGTCATCTGAAACCCACAAGCAGCACTTTGTGATGTTGGTCAGTTACAGCAGGAGGAGGAAAGAAGTATTTATGTGTTATTATCAAAGCAACCTCAGTGGGAGGAGAGTGGACGAGAAGCGATCTGAGTTTTATTTGGGCTCTAAAGTCAGTGACAGTTTGGTCAGAGATGATGAATGACCCGACCAATCAGGTCCGAGGGCGTTCTCACAGCTACAGTTCGTTTACTTTGGTCCAAATCAGCTGATGAGTTTGTAAACTTGTAGCGTTGTAGTTGCACACTTCACTTCCTGCCTAGCTCCTGGAGTTTGTTTGGAGCCGTACCATTTTCACTTAGGGCTGTCCTCATTAATGTCTGTGTGTAGAGTTATTTTGAGCGGACAGCAAGTCGACACTGTTACACAAGCTGCACACTGACTACTTTACATTGTATCAAGTGTCATATCTTCAACGTTGTGATGAAAAGATATAACAAAATACTTTTTCTCACTTTTGTGAGATACAGCATGTACAAGGACGTTTAAATGGAGGAACACGCCCTCAGCTCATCCATTAGTGAGACATTTATGATGAAGCAATCAGGTGCATCAATAAGCTGACAGCCAAAGCCATTGTTCCAGAGACAACTCCTTTTCCAAACATATTCTTCATGCACATCGGCTCTGTTTTAATCTGGGACCTTCTGGTGTGGTACCGGTACAATCGCTCCATTGCTCTGACTGTTGCAAACAGAACACACTGCAAAGAAGTCTAGAAACCTGCAGCACGTGTATTGTTTGACCTCAGAGCTGCAGAACATCACTTCTGTTCAGGACAAAAACAAGTGAGGATGATAAAATTCATCTGTCCGTGTGTGTGAGGCATTCCAGTAAACCTTCCCACACAGCCGCTGAATTATTCCCCGACCAGCAATGTGAAAAGGATGATCGTAAGTGTGTGTGTGTGTGTGTGTGTGTGTGTGTGTGTGTGTGTGTGTGTGTGCGCGCTCTACAGGCTTTAAAATAAAATGATGAAGCAGGTCAGTTCGAGACTTCATGTGTCTGATACTTGGAGTTTAAAGCATTTAAAGCACATGATTGTGAAATAAAACTGCTAGAAGGACCTGACGGTTCACTCCGTGTGACTCACCTCATTACAGTCTGTCACGGGCTGACTCAGTATCCAACCAGCCGCTGTGTTTTTTCCACAGTTAGGATTCTGAAAGCCTCCGGCCCTGACAACCCGTGATGACTTCATTTAAGAGGAAAAGCTAAGATGGTTGCTGGCCTCGGTCAGCGAGGGAGTGCCCAGGAATGTTTCCCGGCTGTGGCAAATATTTGGCCTTCCAGAGATGTGAGAGGGCAACACTTAAACAGAGGAAAGAAACGAGCGCTCCTCTCATCTGCCTCGCCACGCTGCCGTGGAAACAGATTCCTGAGCCTAACGTGCGCGACGCTTTATGGACTGTGGTGTGTTTGTGCAGACAGCTCATCAGAATGTGTGTGTGAGGCGTGAACAGCTCAGGGGAACATGGAGGCTCACTTTGAACATCATCATTTCCACTCAGTCACTCAGCTGTGTGAAAAATACTCCGGTGCTCCTTCTGAAGCTTACAGAGGTGTGCTGAGCGACACACTGACGCTTCATGAACCTTCACTGTGTGTCCCTGTGGGTGATTGAATAAGAAATATCTGAAGTTGCTCCAGACTTAGATACGAACAAAAGTGATGTACAGACACGGCCCAGGATGCAGGAGAAACACAACACATCACAAACACCAAACCTCTGACTTGTTCATCGCCCGTCCAACACTAACTGTGGCTGAGCGTGGGGAGGTCGATCCAACGTTAAATCCACACTTTCACATTCAGCTCTCTTCCACAACCATCTCCTGCTTCTTCCTTCTCCCATCTGTGGATAAAACCCTGAGATACTTGAACTCCTTCACTTGGGGCAGCAAATCCACTCGGTGGGCGGTCGACTGAGGACCACAGCCTCACTAGTGCTAACGCAGTACTCGGGTGTGAACCGCCCACTGTGACCAAGAGGTCATCAGTCAACAGAAGCACCCGTCTGAAACAAGTCCGACTCACTGCAGGACACCACACACACTGCAGACAGCAGACAGCATAGTTTGAGGAACTTTCAGCAGATGCTGTGACGTTACTGTCAACCCTTCTGGGGATGATACTCGTGCACGACCGCCTTAAACACCTAAAGTAACTGAACATCATGATGTGTACCGTTCAGACATGCTGGGAAACAACGCGTTTCTGTCACGTATCCTGCTGAACAAACTCTCCGTGTACGAGTCGCGCAGCTCTCACAGATCATGTCGCGACTGAAAAGCCAGAAGTGCCAACTTTGTAAGAAACATTCATTGTTGATGGACGAGGTCCAACAGATACCTTTGCCATACCATACCTTTGCTATAACAGGTCACATGAGCCAGACACACACACACACACACACACACACACACACACACACACACACACACACACACACACACACACACACACACACACAGTGACCAGCCTACATGCTTAGATTATGGGGATGACATCATTATTGG